GGTGACCCCTCCAGGCAGCTGGGCCCCGCAGGGGGCTGAGTGGAAGGCGCCGCGGGGGCTGGGGCTCTTGGGCTGACAGTATGTTAGAGCTGTGGGTCCCCCATCTCCGGAGTACGCCTGCTGCCTCCCAGCAGACGCTGTGCATGCGAGGAGCATCACAGGCGGGGACTTGTCAGGGTCAGAGTCCCCAAGGGCCCTGGCACAGGCTGGGGAAGGCTGAGGCCTGAACCGTGGGGGCTGGGTGCAGAGGTCCTTCAGATGCTGACCCCTTTCCCCACCACTGGCATCTCGCTGTCCAGCTCGGGGCCAGTCCTCTGCTCTGGCCGCCGGGCGTGTTGCGTGACAAGCTGGCGCACTGTCCTCGCTCACCTGCTGTCCGTTCCCCATGTTTTCAGGGGCTGCTCCTGGAGCCAGGCTGGGTCCTGGGCTGCCATAGACAGTAAAGCAAATGGGGGCTCTGGGCCTGCGTCAGTGGCGCCTGCAGATGAATGTAGACTCACAGTGGTCATGTTTGCTGAGCCTTTCCCTGTAGACCTGTGTCACCTCTAGAATCCCCTTCTAGCACCCTGAGGAGGACCCATGAGGTCCCCGACAGGAAAGAGCAAGACCCATGAGAGAACGTGACAAGATGCTACGTTCAATTTGTGGGGAGCGTCAGGGGGGTTCCTCAGGGGAAATGGTGGGGGAGGGGCAATCAGCACGTGCAAAGGTCCTGGGGCAGTCAGACCGTGGGCATTTGAAGCCCTAAAACGAGGTCCCGGCGGCAAAGACGAAGGAAGAGCAGAGGGAGACACAGCTGGTGAGGTGGAGTGGGGACACTTGCTGAGTGGTTGGATTTCATCTCAAGCCGCTGCTGACTTTGAGGCAAGACAGCAGCAGGTTCTGACTTAGGCTTTCAGAGGAACCTCTGACTGCTGTTTGGAGCCAGATTTGAGGATGTTAGGGGGCAGCTGGGAATCAGGGTAGGAGCAGACACCAGCAGAATACATGGGTTTGGGGGTACTTGCAGGACATCCCAGCTTGTGTGGTGGCGTGCCTGACACAGGTCCCCTTGGCTGTAAAGGAGCCTGGCTGGCTACCGTGAGAGGGGTGGGGGCACACAGCTCCGTCAGGAGGGCTGGGGGGCCTTGGCCGGGCTTCCCGCAGCTCTTCCTGTCACCTGCCTCCCTGGCCACCCTTCCCTTGCTGCCTGGCCGGTTGGGCTCTGTTTCTGGGTCTAACTGGGCGGAAGCCACCCCCTCCTCTCAGATCTCCCCTTTACATGGCCCCTTATGGACCCTGTTCTGTGCCCCAGGGGAAACGTGGCCATGGGAGGCCACCCCCCTTCACCCCAGGATGAAGGGGATCTCGGGGGGAAACCATGCTGTGGGAGCCAGGAGGAACCGTTCCCTGTGGGCTTGGCATGGCATCCTCCAGGCCCCCCGTTTGGAGAGGGCCTTCTCCCGATGAGTCTCCGGAAGAGGGGCCCCGCAGGGTCAGCAGGGTGCTGGAGGATGCTGGGGTGCAGGTGCCCAGAGTGGGGTGGATCCCCGGAGGGTGGGTGCACAGGAGGGCCCTGAGCACTCCAAATATTTACTGAGCCAGTGGATGCCAGCACTCAGCAAACCTCAGTGCTTCTCACTCGTTAGTGACAAAACTCAGCAAGCCACGAACTCCCCAGGCAGGTGGTGTGGCCTGGGCTGTGCAGGTTCTCTTGAGGCAGGAGGGTCTTCTGACCTTGGGCCTCTCAGCCTTCCCGTGTGCTCTGTGGACAGGGAGACCTGCTGCTCACTCCCAGTCGTGCTGTAAGCCTGTCTGTGTCTGGGGCCTCTGGCTGCCGGACTGACCTTGGCCTGAATTTCGGGGGCTCGGGCTCAGCCCTGTGTCCCCAGGTCTGATGAGGCAGCCAGGACCAGAAAGGAAACTGCTGGGTCCCCCCGAGCACCTCCCTGCCCCCACCCCAGAGAGAAGGTTCCCAGCCAGCAGGGCTCCCTCCAAGCCAGCTGTCCTTACTGCCCACGTCCCTGGGAGGGTGGGCCTTTGTTTGGGTCACTTGTTCATCACAAGCGTCCCGGTGCACAAGGCTGTGCGGCGCTCATTAGTGGGGCGGCGGGACGCAGATCTGTCACGGGTGACCGCTGACTGTGGCCACCCGGGGCTTGACAGCCTGCTTCAGTCCCCCCTGGACCTCGGTGGGCCAGCCCCAACAGATTCGTTTGGCGACTTTGTTTGCTAAAAAGGGGAAATGCGATCATCAGCTTCCAGCAGATGCTTGTGGAGGAGGCTGGTCCACAGTCTTGGCCCTCAGCAGCCCTGCCAGTGTGGAGAGGTGTCTGTTCAGGCTGTGTTACTCTCCGTGGGGGTTCGTGGCTGGGCCGTGGCACGTATCCGGGGCTGCTGTGGCCGTATCCCCCCTGCACCTGCTTCTCCCTGCAGGGCAGTCGGGGCGTCTCACCAGGTACCTGTGTCCTATTTGGACATGGGGAGCCTAGCCCAGCCTAGTGAGGCAGCCGGCTCTCTGCCCCTTACGCCTTCATGGTCCATCTGTTCCCCGTGGGTGGTGACCCCTCCAGGAGATGGTAGAGAACCTCCAGAAGTCAGGGCTGACATCCAGAAGGTGCGGGATGGGGGGCAGAGTAGAGAGGGGGTGAGCCCCGTGTCGTCGTCGGGCTGTGACGAGAGCGGGTCCACTGCGTGCCCGGTTTAGAAACAAGACAGAGCCATTCCCAGTGTGACTTGGGTCCCCATCTACAGGAGCCTTAGGCCCGGAGGAGATGGCCTAGGATTTCCAGATGGACTCCATTGCATTTTATCTTGATACAAACGTTCGGTAATCGGGTTTGCAGAGGACTCAGCATAGTCCTTGAGAATTGAAAAAGTTGCCCGCAGCCAGCTGTCATTCCCCGAATGTGGGATGACCAAGTGGCGGGGGCAGAGGATCTGCCTGCAGGGACAGCCAGGGTCCTGTGCTCCTGGGCGGTGCCCACTGACCAGGGTTTGCGCCTTAGGAACGGTGCGGAAGACAGGGCCTGCTTGCGGCTACCGCGTCCCCCGGCGCAGCTGCTTGGTCGGAGCCTTGGAGCGGCCCTTGGGTCACGTAAGAGCTCTGTGGAATAGTGTGTGTGTGGACTTTGTGGTGTGGATGGGCTCCAGGGTGAGCAGGAAGGCCGGCTGGGCAGCGTGGGGACACCCAAGAAAGGCTGAAGTGGGGCAGGCAGTTTGACTGTCAGCACGGTGTCCCAGCAAAGAGCCTGGCTGGGGCCGGCCCCCTGAGCCTGACAGGCCCTGCTGTGGACCGGATGTCTGTGTGCCCTCAAAAGCATACAGGGGGTTAGGAGGTGGGGCCCCCGGGAGGTGATCAAGGTTAGACAAGGTCGTGAGGGTGGGGCCCCCAGGATGGGGTGAGTGCCCTCAGGAGAAGAGGAGGGGATGCCCAAGCCCTTTCTCTCTGCCGCGTGAGGCCGTCACAAAGCGGTGCGCACCAGGCTTGGCCAGCCCCCTGACCCCGGACTTGCAGCCTCCGGAACTGGGAGGAATCAGGGTCTGCTGTTCGGGTCCCCCCAGTCCGTGGTATTTTGTGCTGGCCGCACAAACTAAGATATACCCACCTTCACTATATACGGTCTCAGAAACGGGAGCCCTCACTTGCGCGTAGATGCTAACTGGTGGTCACCCCCGGGATGGACGGAGGATGGAGACAGATGGAAGGCGTAGGGGCCTCTGCGTGGCCTGCAGTGTGATGTCTCTGGATCTGGGTGTCCAGTGTGTGCAAATGCAGTGAGGCATCCACTTAGATCTGAGCCCCCGTGTGGGCTCCACTCTGTGGGAGTTCTTTCTTGCTGTTGCACCAGAAACCGAGGGCCTTAAAATAGTGTGTTTATTCTCTTACAATTCCGGAGGCCAGAAGTCCAGCATATTGAGGGTCACATGTTGGCAGGGCTTTGTCCCCCCTGGAGGATCTCAGGGAGAATCTGTCTCCTTGACTTGTCTGGCTTCGAGAAGCCGCCCGCGATCCTGGGCTGCTGGCCCCTTCTGCTACCCTTGAGGCCAGCAGCCTGGCACCTACAAGTCTCTCCTCTCCCTGACCTCTGACCCTCCTGCCTCGTCTGAGGAGTTTACATAATGGTGATTACGCTGGGCCTGGATAACCAGGATAGCCCCCCATCTCAAGGTCCTTTGCTTGATCACGTCTGCAGAGTCGCTTTGTCCATGCAGGGGACATAGTCCCAGGTCCCCGGAATTAGGTTGGGACCTCTTTGGGGACCATCGGTATCACATATTACAGTTAAAAACCACAACTATGTGTCCCTTGGTTTCCACCTCTCCTGGAGTAAACGTCAGGTCCTTCTGGCTCTGCACGTCCTGCCCCCCACCCCATCTCATCTGTGACTCCTCCCCTCAGCTCCCAGGGCCCTCCTGTCTCAGGGCCTTTGCAACGCTGTTGCTGAGCCTGCCACCTGCTTTTCCCCTAGGAATCTGTTGTCTTGATATTCGTCCCATCCAGGTCCCCACTCGGACTGCAGGAGCGCCCTGCCTGGCCTCCCACTGTGCTCCTGGGTCATCAGCACCCGGGTGGTGGGAGCTGTCCATCTGCCCCTGGCAGGGGCTCGGCTCTGTGGCTGAGGCCTGTGGACCACACCTGGCGCGGGTGTGTGTCCAGGCGATGTCCATTGGGTGACCAGGTGTCTCCAGGATCCCTTTCTCTGGGGCATCCTGGTGGTGGCGGTGATGTGGTGAGATGCCTTTCGTGCATGTGACCTGCACCTGTTTTGTTTAGGACAGGACTCCTCACTGTTGCTTTGCCCCAGCCCTCACCCCCACCGTGTAAGAGGAGCCCCGATTAATAGTCTCCCTGCAGGTGTCCCCCCAGAGAGGAGCAAGAGAGCTGCTACGGCCCAGCAGGTGCAGACAGGGCCCTCTGTCCAAGTGCTCTGAAAACCAAGCCTGCCCTCGGCACCTCTGCCGCTGGAGGGGCAGAGCGGATCGGAGCGCAGGTCACCTGGCGGTTCTGTCCCCTACAGAGGAGGAGCTCCGCAAGCTGAGAGAAGAAACCAACTCAGAGATGCTTCGACAGGAGCTGGACCGGGAGCGGCAGCGGCGGATAGAGCTGGAGCAGAAGGTCCAGGAAGTGCTGAAGGCCAGGTGAGGAGGGGCCCAAGGCCCCCCACTGCCCGCTCAGGCACTCCCTTGCCTGCCAGCCCCCCACAGGATGCAGGCACCCCCTCTTGTGCCATCCCGCCACATGCAGTCACCCCCGGGGTCGCCCACCACAAACGGTCACCCTCCTCCCCGCAGGGTCCCTCCTTCCTGGGGAGTGACAAGTGCCGCCCCAGCTTCTGGAGGGCGTGACGTGGGCCCTGCTGTGGGATGGAGCTGTCCCCGTGCGTGGCCTCCTCTTGCACCCCACGCCTCTGCCCGCACGAGCTGGGCCGCTGCCTCACGGTGCTGCCGGTGAGGAGCGGGTCCTTCCCGCAGGGTATTAGTAGGTTCTGAGAGCTGTGCTCTCCCTGTCCTGAGAGAACCCCCAGGAGGCTCCCTGTCCGTCCACACAGCCTGCAAGCTGGTGGCCCGGCAGACGAGGCCACTGCTGGGACAGCCCAGCCAGGGCTGGTTTCTCTGTGCGGTGGATGAGGGCACTGTTACTTTCCAGTGTAGTCTCCGGCTCTGGCTCTGAGGACACCCACACTCTGGCGCCTCGATGCATGGGGTTCAGTTGGTGGAAAGGAAGTGCCTCCTTGTTTCACGGCCAGACGCTGGCTTCCTGTCAGGTCTTACCCGTGGTTGTCAGCCCCGGGAGCTGGTGACATCTGGTTCTCTTTGGAGGAGGGCTCTTTTATTTCGTGCTCTGGAGGCATTTTTGATGACTCCTGTGTGCTTTTGGGCAGCCTGTCCCCTCAGGGCTGTTGTGGGGTTCTCTGGGACTCCATGTGGGGGCCTTGAGCTTGGTAGGGGAGGGACGCACCCTACTTTGACATTCTGCCCCGGCTACGAGGCCGGCAGCCCTTTCCAGACCCCAGCACGTGGGCCTCAACCCGCACATTACCTGATGTTGATCCTTCACATGTGGAAATCTGTGGATGTTTTCATTATGCAAAGGGGTGCAGCCGGGGACCTGACCCACGGATGCTGAGAGATCCAGGGACTGATGCTGTCCCAGGTGTGTGGCCGGCTTTGGGTGCCTTCTCCACCCGCCAGCCACGGCCAGCCTTCCATGGCATGTCTCAGCACTGTGTCCCCCCACAGAAGTCGCTCTGTCCGGTGCAGATGTGTGATTCTGTCCAGCTTTGCCCAGAGCCCTTGGCTGGAGGTGGCATATCCCCTCTGGTGTTGAGAGGTACTCGCCCTGAGCTGACCTTTGTGCAGGGCCCACGCCTTCTGCTTCTCACCCTCCTGCCCAGCCCAGCCTCCTCACTCCAAAGCCCCTTCCAGTTCTGAGGATGCAGAGGGACCAGCTGGGTGGTCACAGTAAAGGAACAGGCCAGGACTGAGGAAGCTGAAGGTCCTGGGGCACACTGTGGGGCTGCTCCCCTGCTGTACGTGGGGTGGGGTTTAGGAACCTTCTCGAAATGGAGACCTGAAGGGGAAAGTACAGGGAGAAGCAGGTTCCATGCAAGTGACGACCTCTTCCTTCGTCACCTTGATGTCTGTCTGGGGTGGCCGTGGGCCGTCCCTGTCGGGTGAGCATATGGAGGGGGACCCCTTTCACACGCACACACAGACACACACACACACACATATGCACACCACCCCCAAGCTGCAGGTGAGCTGCAGAATTGAAACGTGGTAATTAGAGTTTATGTAAACCTTTGTTTTGGTTTTAAAGAAAATTCCCGGAAAATCATCTTGATTGGAGCTTATCTGTTAGTAGGCAAAGGCCTTTTCCCGTTAGGGGTCCAAAAGCAGCACGGAAACACCGCCCTTCTGACTTAACCATCTGTGGTCGGGCCGTGCCTGCCACCGCCCCTCTGCCCGTCCCGCTCCTGGGCTCGGCTGGCACACTGCATTGAACCTCGCTGGGGGCCACAGTGTGGGATGAAAGGGACCCTGGTGACAGTCTAGTGCCCCCAGCCCGGGGAGAGGGGTCGGGGGCAGAGTGACCCCGGTGCCCGGCCCTGGCATCATGCTCCTTGCAGGCTTCGGTGCCCTCTGGCCTCGGGTGGCTGTAGGCCAGAAAATCCGACTTTTAAAAAGCAATTCAGGCACGTTCCACTCCAGGCTTGTTTGGTTGATTGTTGAACATTAGCGTAGGTTGTTGAGAAACATTTCAGAGAATCCAGTTGTTGGAAATACAAGGCCCCTTTTTTCAGTGAGGTCACCCTGCTCACTTCCTGCCTTCTCTGGAGCTGCGGTTGGGACTGCACGCCCCGAGTGTCGTGGGCTGGAATGTCCTGGCGCACCGTCTGCCCTGCTGTCTGTCTGTCTCCTCTGTTCAGCGCGTGGAACAGGCACTTACACATTCCGTATTTGGGATGATGGGAAGGGGGTACAGTTCCTGCAGCCTTCCTTCCCCGAAGGCAGCTCGCAGCCCAGGAGGGTCTAAATACTTGTGTGTCTCTAGTAGGAATTGTGTTAGAAAAAACACACAGCCAGTGACCGTGCACACCAAACAGTAACAAGCACAGGACCCCAGGAAGCCCCCACCTGTGTCCCTCAGGCATGCGAATCCTCTTGGTGCCCAAGCCCCAGGCTTGGGTTGTGGGGCCAGTTTGTTAGTGCTTCTCAGGTGGGCTGTGTCTTCCAGAACCTTCAAGCTGGGCACAGACATCCTGGTCCGGAGGCCGTGACTCCTGCCTGGGAATGGAAGGCACTCGGCTGGGTCCTGGCGTCTCCTGTGTGGCCTGGGCCCCTCTCCTGTTCCCAGTAAACCCCCACTTGCCGGTGGTCGCTCTGGGCGTGGACAGTTGCTTGGGCAGCCTGGCCACAGGGAGGGGCGGGCGTGGAGTCCTGGCCCCCTCCCCTGGCCCGTGGCGCCCTTTTCCAGGACTCCACGTCTGTGTTGTCTTCCCCGTCCATTGCTTAGTGAGGCTGCAGGCTCGCCCACCCTGCTTGTCCCCAGCTTGTCTTCCGTGCTCTAGGTGACAGTCACGGGTTTCAGGCCTGCAAATCAGGTTGGCTCACAGAAGGGTGGCATGAAATCCCGCTGTGTGAGTAGGGCAGAAACCTCGCCCCCTCCCTCACTGCAGTTGAGGGTGCGCTCGGGCCAGGGGTCTCCCAGCCCTGCCATCTATGTCCTGGAAGAGTCCTCTGTGGCCCTGCAAGACCCTGCTGAGGTTTACCTGTGGCACCGCTTTTCCCACATCCTGGGGTCACTGCTGGACTGGGAGCCCCAGGAACAGTGTGGTGCGTCCGTGGCCTGGGCCAGTGCAGAACAAGGTGGGCGGGTCGGCTGTGGCATGAGATGTGGCCTGGCCAAAGCTCCACCCAGGGGCCGGGGGCTGGGCCAGCTGCATCAGGCTCTGTAGCTGAAAGCCGGTTCAATATTTGGGGTCTGGCAGGTGGACAGAAACTCCAGGAGAGTGCTCTGAGACCGGTGAGTGCTGTGGTCTGTGGTGGCTGGGCCGTAGGGGCAGGAAGCCAGGCAGGTGGCTGGCATGGGCCGAGCTGGGACCTGGGCACAGCTGTCCAGCGCAAGGGGTCACCCAGCCTGTGGTCTTGAGTGCTGCTTGCTGAACATGTCCACTGATGAGCATCTTTTTATCAACAGGCTGGTTAATTAGTATAAGGACTGTTCTGAACTTAACAATGAAGAAGCAGATGTGTTCATAGGAGAGGAAAGAGTGGTACATTTATGAGACATTTTTTTATTTGGTTATTGAAAAAAATCAGAAGAGAGCGTGCCCACCGTGAATGCGGCTCTGAGCTGCCTGGCCTGCCCCGTGAGCAGTGTCGGAGCACTGAGCTCCCAGCGGGGGCCCCGTGAGCTGAAGCTAACACTCGTGGGCGGCAGGCTCCCTGTGAATGCTAGCACCTTCCACAGCCTGCACTCACAGTGTGTTTGGAACTAACGGGATCCTTGTTTCTTCTTCCCCGTCTTTAAGATCTGAGGAGCAGACGGCCCAGCAGCCTCTGAAGGGGCAGGCCCAGGCCAACAACGGAGCAGGTAGGCCCCGCGGGCAGCCGGGCTGGGCGGTGGGGTGTGTGCTGGTCCGGCGCCCGTCGGACTGGCACAGGCGTCTGCAGCTGTGAGTCGGCGAGCTGTCACAGCGAACACAGTCGTTCAACAAGACGTGGTTTTATTTTCCCGTAAGAAGACCGCGCGGCCCCCGTTGCAGACCTTCCCGACAGAGACGTAGTGTCCCTCATCACATTGGCTTGGTGGCTACTGACCTGGTGGCCCGTGTCCAGAGACTGGCAGTCCTGACAAAGGACGAGTGGGCAGTGGGGGCCGCCGTCCATGGTCAGGATGTGCCCTGGCCCTCCCCGGGTCAGGACGCACAGCCCCTTTCTCTGCACCTTTTCCTGTCGCCCTGCGCCTCCTCTTTGTCTTACTCCCCTGTCTGCCCTTCCTAGAGCTGTCCTGGCAGCAAAATTGGATTTTCTGTCCAGCTCTCTAGGGGCCCCGATCTGTGGTGGGCCTGGCCCTCCCGTCTCCCGACCGAGGGCTCAGTCCCACAGGCTGACCCCTCGCGAGCACCCCCTGCCTGTGCCGGGAGCTCATAGCTACACGAGAAGGGCCTTAGGATTAAGCCCGTCTCATATACAGGTGAGGAAACCGAGACCCAGGAGGGGAAGCCTCTTCAAGGGGCACCTGCAACGTGGAGGCCCAGCTTGGACCGCAGGCAGGTCCTGCCTTCCACAGGGGGAGGTGGCCCCTTCCTGGGGACCCCGGTGCGGGACCAGCAGGCCGGCCGGTGCAGGTGCGGGATTGGCAGCTGTGCCCCTCGGGTCATGGGCTCCATGCCCCAGACCCAGGATCCATGCCAGGAGCAGCACGAGAGACCCCAAGGCCCCCGCTGTGCCCCGTGATTGATGAGTCTCCTGCACACGCGGGAAGTGTCAGAGGAGGGGAGGGTGGAAGACCCCAGCTCTCCGGGTGCCCAGGCTGAGGTCCTTTCTGTAGCGGTGGTCACTGGTGCGGTGAGCTCTGCGTGGGCCGAGGGAGGGGACGGGTGCTCTGTGCGATGCTCCCCACCCTGCAGTCAGGGTGGGCGGCCGAGGGGGTCCGTGGTGCCTGGAGCCCGTCTGCTCAGGCAGCACGCCCGGCTTAGACCTGGGGCTAAGCAGACTGCAGCCCCGTCTGATTTCACGTGTTTAAATGTTTTTACATTTCTAAATGGTCGGAGGAAATCAAAAGGATATGGGTTTCACGTTTCAGCATCCATAGTGTGGTTTCATGGGAACACGGGCAGCCCTGTTAGATTCCGTCCTGTCCACGGCTGCTTTGTGGCCATCAAGGTGCCTGTCTGCCCACCCCTGCCCAGCCCCGCGCTGAAAACATTCGCGCCCCAGGTAGGGGTGAGCAGCCCCCAGGCCCTCCCCGTTCCTTCCCTCCTTGAGAGGTCTACCTCTTCGGCTCTGTGTGCACAAACCTCAGCCCCTTGGAGAGCACCAGCACGTGACCACCTCCGTGCTGTCCCTCTCCTTACTCGTGGCGGGCAGCGCCCCCTGCGGGCGACGCCGTACCCTGCAGAGCACCTGCTCTGAGTCTGTGATGTGGGTCCCTCTCGGAAGGTCTTGGCCGTGGTGAGCAGAGGCCACTTCCTTCACTGGGGCTCCCACCAGGACACAGCCTGCGGCACACATGCCCCCTGGCTGTTCCTCTTGTTCCCGCGGGGTCAGCGGGAGTGAGCCCCCCCGCCAGAGAAAGGGAGGGTGACGCAGACCCCAGGGCCTGGGATCTGGCGGAGGGCAGCTCGGCGTGGGTGTGACCACGGAGACCCCGTGTGGTCTGCGGTGACTGCCGGGCCGCGCCGTGGAAGTGGGTCAGGCTCCGTGTCAGGGAGCGCGTGTTCACACCCCTCCGTCAGTGTTCGTTTGCCCCCACCCTCCTGGCCTCACTGGGACCCTCATCCCCCCAGACCGGCGCAGCCAGGGGCTGTGCCCCCGCGTCCAGAAGTGGTTCTACGAGAAGTTTGGGGAGTACGTGGAGGATTTCCGGTTCCAGCCCGAGGAGAGCACCGTGGAGACGGAGGAGCCCCTCAGCGCCCGGAGGTGGGGGCCCTCGCGGAGGTGGGGGGGGGCGGCCACCGGGACGTCAGAGCCAGGCCCGTGTCCGAGTGTCCAAGTGGCTGTGGCCAGGGTTGCTCCTGGGGCCGGCCGAGCCACCTTCCTGGGGGAGGGGCCTCCTTCCTGGGGGAGGGGCCTCCTTGGGGGAGGGGAGGGCAGCTGGCAGGGCTCCATGGCTGGCGGCACTGCCGTGTTCCCCCGCTCAGTGCTCCTGCTTGTGCTTTGTGACCGACGCCGTGTGGGGACGGTGGTCTGGGGGCTCAACGCCCACGGCCCAGGCCTTCCTCGTGGGTCCCGCACCCTCTCAGTGAACAGCTCCCTGTGCCAGGCCGTGTTGTAGGCTCTGGGGGACTCAGGTTCAGGGGACGTGGGCAGGAGACCAGGGACGGTTCTGTAGGTGAGGACCCCCTGCCCCAAGTTAGGGAGCAGTGGCGACATGGCCCCTGGCGTGGCCCCTGCGTCTCCGGTCACGCTTTGCTCCCCACGTGCCAGCAGAGCTCCGTGGTGGGGGCAGCGGGGACGCGGGGCGTAGGAGCTGGTGCTCACCTCTCTCTCTTTCCCTCTCTCTTAGGTTGACGGAAAACATGAGACGACTAAGTGAGTCCCTAGCGCGTCTGTGAGCGGCCGTGGGAGCTGGTGGGACCCCTGAGCCGCGAGCGTGTGGTCGGGGGGGGGCGGGGGGGCTCTGCAGTCCTGAGCTCAACGGGACGTCTTTTCAGACAGGGGTTACCAGGGAGTTCTTAGGAAGAAGACTCCCACTGGGAGCATGTCCGGGGCCCCGCCCTGTCCATCCTGAGCAGGACAGGATGGGGCCAGCACTGCCCGCCCGGCCCCGAGCCGGGGGCTCAGTTTCCCTCCAGGCCTGGGAGACCCCGTGAAGGTGGTGCTTTCCCAGATATTTGCTGGAGCCCAGGCAATGCCGAGGACCCCCGCCCCAGCTGCCCCTTTCTTGTGTCTGCGGCTCAGGCATGGGGGGCAGGGAGCAGATAGCTGGCGTGTCTCCGCGGGGACAGTGGACGGCATGTAGCACCCGGTGTGGCCGGGGAGTGCCAGCAGAGGGTCAGGCACATGAGGAGCTTGAGTCATTCGGGGCTCCTTTGCTCGTTTGGTGCCTCCCCCCCCGCTCCCGCCCCCCCTGCCCTCTGGGTGTGCCCAAGCGCTGGCCTCATCGTGGTCTGTTCTGTCCCTAGAGCGCGGTGCCAAGCCCGTCACCAGCTTCGTGAAGAACCTCTCTGCCTTATCCGACTGGTACTCCGTCTACACGTCTGCCATCGCCTTCACCGTGAGTGCCCCCGGTACCCTGGTGTTTCCTGGGGACACACGCGCCTTAGCTTCTGTCTGGAAAGTGGGTACCGTGTCGCTACCTAGTCGAGGGGTTGCTGCAAGGATCGGGCAAGGGCACTGGGCGCTCCGGGGGCCGGCCCGTGTCTGCACACAGCCCCATGGCAGCATTCTCAGGAACAGGCCTCTGTCTGTGCTTTAGCCCGCGTTGCTGGATGAGTCAGGGAGAGGACCGTGGGGAGGCTTGTCTGCGCTCCTCCCACTGGGTGCCTGGGGGAGGCTCCTGCAAACGCCCCATGGCCTGGAGGCCGAGCTGAGCCTCTGCGAGCCAGCAGTCCTGGGGAAGGGTGGGAGAGCAGTGCCCGGCATCAGGGTGTGCTCTGGGGAAGACAGACGGGGCTGCTCTGCCTGAATGGTCCCATGGCCGCCGTCCCCAGCCCCGCACAGGGAGACCCTCTTGTCACTGGGAGGAGGACACAGGCTGCCCACCTGCCTGCCAGGACCTGAGGCCAGAGAGGGGTGACCACAGCTCCCAAAGTCGCCATTTCTGCATTCTGGAGGTTCTGAGACCACCCTAGAGCCCCCAGCCTGGCTCCAGCCCCAGGGGGAGATGGGCATTTTGCACACACTTAGAGCAGGACTCAGTGGCCTGGCCCCTGCCCCGCCTTCACCCCGGGGCCCCGCCCTCACCCCAGAGGCCCCGCCCTTACCCCAGAGGCTCCGCCTTCACCCTTCAGGAGTCCTCTGCTCCCTGAGGCCTTGGGTACCTGGGTCCTGCCTGTCCTCGCCAAGGGAGGTGCCCACCATTCAGACCCACCTTCCAGGCCTCTGCCTGAACCCCACTGCATTCCCTTCTCTGCCCCTTTTTGAGCGTCTGCTCCATGCTGGCAGCTCTGTGCCAGGCTGGTAGGCCCTGAGTGAAGGGGCCCGAGCCACACTTGGCCTGGCACATGGCACGTAGGGGGTTCTCAGCCGGCGGTCGGTCACCTCGCTCAGCTGTGCTGAGTCCTGGTGGTGCTGCGGGCTCCAGCACAGGGGAGCCACCCCTGGGGCTGGCAGGGGCCTCTGCTCTCCTCTGCCCATTCCAGGCCACATCCAGTGGCTGCCTCCCTGGGGCGGCCCCCTCCCTACACCCCCAGAGCAGCTCCTCCCAGGGCTTCTCTGTCATGCGTTCCCTCCTTTGGGAAGACGCTGGGGGCCTGGGCTCCCCACCTCCCAGCATGGCTGGACTGCCTGGTGGGGCGGAGGGTGGGGGGGGGAGGGGAAGGGGGAGGGATGTGGCCTGTCAGGCTGCCTGACTGTCTCTCTCCCCCCGGCTTTCTCTCCGAACCCACAGGTGTACATGAATGCCGTGTGGCATGGCTGGGCCATCCCCATGTTCTTGTTTCTAGCAATTTTGAGGTTATCCCTCAATTACCTCATAGCCAGGTAGGTGAGCTGCTTTGTCCTGCTTATGCAGCAGGGCTGTCTCCCTACGACACACACAGCCGTGGCACTCCTGAGCCGGGGCTGCCTCTCACACGGGGGTTTGGGTAGCGGTCCTCTGATAGGCTAGGCTCCCGAGCCCCCAGGAGGATGCCCACCCCCACTGGTCTGCGGGAGCCAGCAGTGGGTGGTCATCAGACTCCCCAGCGGCTGTTCATCTCAGAGGCCCATGTGCACCTGCAGGGGTCACCCCAGCCGCTCCTGTTCCCCGACGACATCCCTGGCTTGCGGGGGCTGCAGAGTCTGTGCCCTGGGAGGCCCTGGGATTCAGAGGGAGGGTCCTTGAAATCACCAAGCCCAAGCAGCATCTTCTCCGTGCTCTGTGAGCACCCTCCGGGGGTCTCTGTGGAGAACCCCTTGTCCTCAGCTGCCTGGTCTGTCTGCACCCACGGCTGCACCAGCAGCGAACTTTGGCCCCACGGCAGGCCTGAGGAGGGCCCCAGCAGTCCGATTTTTTTTTTAAGATTTTATTTATTTATTCATTAGAGAGAGAATGAGCATAAGCAGGGGAAGGGGCGGAGGCAGAGGGAGAAGCAGACTCCTGCTGAGCAGGGAGCCCGACACGGGGCTGGATCCTAGGACCCTCAGATTGTGACCTGAACTGAAGACGGACACTTAACCGACTGAGCCACCTAGGCGCCCCTCCTGCAGTCCGCTTTGTACTCAGCTGTTCCCCAGTTCACACTGTTAACATACAATTTTCCTGGGTGCATTTTTCTGCCTGCTTAAGTTGCTTCATTTGAAAATGTTTTTTGTAGGGAAGAATATCTTTACATACCCAGGAAAGGGTTATCTGTGCCCAGACCAGGTGTGATTAGTGAAAGTACTTGCCATTACTATTTTGCTGAGTTCTTTTGAAAGACCTATCTGTTCCACCTCTGGGCCCCCAGGGGAGGGGCCCGTGAGGGTGACCTTGAACTGTCCATTCTCAAGAGCCAGGGAGCAGCCCTGGAGGTCTTGGCTGCAAAGAGAGGGGTTCTGAAGCCCCTTCTGTCCTGCGCTCCTTCCCGTCGGGGGCACAGGGCTGGGGATTCGATGTCATCCCTCTGTGAAAGGAGTGTGATGGTCTCCTTGCAGGGGCTGGAGGATACAGTGGAGCATCGTGCCTGAAGTCTCTGAACCAGTGGTAAGTCCTGGGAGGGTGAAGGTCTCTGTCTCCACCCGGTCAGCTTCCCCGAGCATCTGGATGCAGCTGGGTGGATGCCCGGGGGAGCTCTGCCTGGCAAGTAGAGTCAGGGAGCAGAAGGCCAGCCGCCCCCCAGCACAGAGCCCTGGATGGCCACACTCTGACCGCCTGCCAGCTGACACCCCCAGTGCCCCTTGCTGGCCCCAGCTTGGCTGCAGGGGAAGCAGGTTGCCGTGCCCTGGCCTGTCCTCATCCCTCCCAGTGGGGATGATATGCTGCAGGGGGGCACCCGGGGGCCTCCTGGACCAGAGGATGAGTAGTGCAGGGATCAGCCAGCTGCGATCTGCTGGGCCCCAGCATCCAGGAGGCCCTGGGGAGGTTCTTGTTGAATGAACTCAAACAGGAGGAGGTCACGCCCCCCTTTTGCCTCATTTTCTCTCCATGCAAAGTGAGGGGTAGGGGGCTACGTGGTCTCGGACGCACCTTTGCAGATGAGCCATTGAAGCGTGACTCCCCCCTGGCTTGGGGGCTGTCACTGCCCACCCACCCTCTCAGGCACCAGGGGGGTGTCCGCTGGGACAGCCGGCCCCTGCTGTGGGGTGGGGGGGAGCAGAGCGAGCTGCTCCTGGGGCTGCGAGGCCTCCGGGCTGCTAAATTCTGGTGGAAATTCTCTCTCCCCTTTGGCTGCAGGAGCCTCCAAAGGAAGACTTGACTGTGTCTGAGAAGTTCCAGCTTGTGCTGGATGTCGCCCAGAAAGCCCAGGTGCTGCTCTTGGGCTCCGGCCCGGGGACGTCTCTGCACCAGCCCTGGCCCCCAAACCCCAGGCCTGGCTTGTCTCTTGTCAGCTGATCGGCCATCAGCCTGCCCGTCGATCCCTTGGCAGCACCCAGGACGGCTCTGATTGGCGGGAGGGTCTAGGCCGACGGCTCGCACCCTGGAGGGTGGGGAGACCTGCCGCGCTGGGGCCGAGCCAGCTGCTGGGAGGGACACGGCCTGGGTCCAGCATCCGTGCAGTTCCCTGGGCTTCGTGGGGACCCACCACCCTGCCCTCAGCCTGCGAGTGGCTGGGCAGGACAGTGGGGCTCTGTGCCCCACCCCACCCCCCCCCGGCTGTGGCCTCACGGGGGCGGCACCTCTGGCCCCCTGACGTCGTCACTGTGTGGACCGTGGTCCCGGGGCCTGTGGTGACTGCAGTTTCTACAAACAGAACCTCTTCGGCAAGATGGCCGACATCCTGGAGAAGATCAAGAAGTAAGTCCTCGGCCCCCAGCCCGCGGTGTCAGGGGTGCGGCCCCGTCCCCGGCTGAGCCCCCCCCTCCCTTCCAGCCTGTTCATGTGGGTCCAGCCTGAGATCACGCAGAAGCTGTACGTCGCGCTGTGGGCGGCCTTCCTCGCCTCCTGCTTCTTCCCCTACCGCCTGGTGGGACTGGCCGTGGGTAAGAGGCGCTGCGCCACGGGCCAGGGCTGCCGCACAGGTGAGGGAGTGAGGCGGGGGTCCTGGCCTGCTTCCCACCAGAGTGTCCGCAGATGCACAGGCGTCCGGAGGCCAGCTTAGCGCACACCTCGAACAAGCTCATCCTCCGCTTCCTGGAGACTCCCCACTTTTCCGCCAAGCAGAGGGGCTGGTAGGCGTTGGGTATGGACGGCAGTCAGCCAGCTCGGGCTGTGAGGGGTCAGGCCGAGGGAGGAGTGACGTAGCGGTGGAGATGTCACGGGGGGCGGCGGCCTCGATTCTGCGGGGTGAGGTCCGAGCAGAGGGTGAGGTTTGCAGAGTCTGCTTCGGGCAGGTCAGGAACAGCCTTTGGTCGGGGTGGGGTGGGCAGGGCAGTGAGGAGCGTGAGGCAGGCCAGTGGGTGGGCTGGTGGGGCCCTGGTGGGGCCCTGGGTTGTGGTTGGAGCCCGACCCCCGACAGTCGTGAATGGATCAGACAGTTGGAGGGCTCAGGGTTTGCCCCGAAGGGCTGGTAGCTGATGTTGCCATCCGGGGCCCACAGGGAATGGGAAGGGCAGACTGGAGGCGGGGTGTTCAGAGCTAATTCCGGCGGTGGGGAGCATGCAGAATTCAGGGAGCCGCCGGCCACAGGTCTGAGTGTGCGGGACGTGGCCTTTGCCTGTATTTCAAGCCATGGGGTAGCAGGATGACTTGAACTCCCCCATGCGTTCGTGGAACCGCTGTACCGAACCCCTGTCTGGGGCTTCTGCAGGGTAGGGAGAAGGCGTGAGCAGGTGTGGAGGCTGCCCTGAGGCCAAGGCCATGGTCCTGTGGCTGCCCCAACCCATTTGGTCGCCTATCCCAGGAAGCTGCACCCTCCTCTCCAGGCCAGACCCCGAGCAATGACCCACTGTGGGGCCTCGGTGTCCCTCGCCTGGAGCGGGCACAGGGGACTGCATGGGTGGGGGCGCGGGTGGAGGGCTAATCTGAGCTAGGACCTTGTGCTCGGGGGTCGCACAGTGTGGGGGCCGTCCCCACCTGCCCACCACCCCTGGCATGCAGCTGGGGTCTCGGTCTCTCGTTGGCCCTCCCCCTGCACGCCTTGCCAGGACAAGTGGCCGGCAGACAGTGTGGCCTTGGGGGAAAGGACTGACACCAACCAAAGTGAAATGCCCTCATCCTGTTTCTCGGGGGGCCCAGGCTGGCACACGAGCTCTCTGACCCAGGGTTGGAGGGGGGGCTGCCGGCCCATCAGGTCAGAGGGCAGCAGGCTGGGGGTGGGTCTCTCACGCTTTCCTTCATGTCACCCTTGGGGGGTGGTCAGTGGCGGGCTTGTTTGCGAGGTGGTGTGATCAGCAGGAGCCACCTGAGGGTCCTGGGTGGTGAGACATGTAAGCGGACCCCCCGTCGGCTGGGTCGCCTCGCCCTCCTGCTTCCCCTGCTCTGCGCTGGCCACGCCCGGCTTCAGGGAGGCTGGCCGTGAGCCCTGGCCAGAACAGGAGTGTTGCCCTTGTCCCCAGGACTCTACGCTGGGATCAAGTTTTTCCTCATTGACTTTATCTTCAAACGCTGCCCGAGACTGCGAGCCAAATATGACACCCCCTACATCATCTGGAGGAGCCTGCCCACGGACCCCCAGCTCAAGGAGCGCTCCAGCACCGCCGTGTCGCGCCGGGTAGGCTGGCCTCAGGTTGGGGCAGTGGCCCCCAGGCCCACACTTGCTGCTCCCAGTGCGTGGGGAAGCTGGTGTCTTTCTGATTTTGTGGGGCCCTTGAAACAGGCACAGTGTGGCGAGGATTTCCCCGCTGCCTGGCACCGCTGTTTGGGAGGGCCCAGCAGCCCCGGGTGCAAGGTGGCCACTGGGGAAGGCCGTGCAGTGCTTACAAGCCGGGCTGGAGGCCTCCTCCCGCCTCAAAGCCCCTCAGACCTTCCCACGGACTTGCCCGAGCCAGGCTGGCCCCCAGGCCAAGGGCAGGCAGGGCGTGGAGTGCTGGCCATGACTGCCCAGAGCTTGAAGGCCTTGAGGGAACCCTGGGAGCTACCATCCGGCCCTCTGTTCCCCGGCTCTGAGGCTCGGGCCTACCTCGTGCCCACAGGCTGGTACTGGACCTGTATTTTGTTCATGGTGGAAGGCCTTTGTGGGTGGTTACCGGGCCCTGGGCCGCAAACCCGGACATAGAGAACAAGCTGGCCTAGGTGTTCTCCTCAGGGTCTCAGATGAGTGCAGGAGGTTCTGGGTCCTGTAGGACTCCTGGGGAGGTCTGGAAAGGCTTCCTGAAGGAGGTGACATTAGATTGCTGTGTTGTGTGAGTGTTGGGAGAGGGTGTCCAGTGACCCGGTGATGGGAGGGAAGCTCTGGGTCAGGTGTGGGTCAGGATCCCCAGGTTCCGGGACAACAAAGCTTATTGGAAGCCCACACTCATCAGCAGGGTCTCTGTGAGCCAGCAGGTGGGCTCTGGTCACGCAGGTGGAGGTGGGCCTGAGGGAGGAGGTGCAGAGGTGGACAGCCTGGCTCCCTGAGGGCGTGGGAGGGGTGGTCGGGACAGGGCCTTCCGGGGCGTTAAGACCACTTAGCATTGGCCAGTCTCAGGAGAGGCTGAAGGGGAGTGAGGCCATGGGCTTCCCAGGTGGTGGGGGGCGAGGGAGACCCCGCCAAGGGGTGTGTGCTTGCAGCTCAGCTCAGCCACCGTGTGTGAGCTCGCACCACGTGGACCCATTTGTCGCTTGTCTTGGTCACGCGTGTGTCTGTTGTCTCCTCTCTGGTCAGGTGTCAGGCCACGACGAGGTAGGGTGTCCGTGTGGAAGCCTCTCCTCCACGGGGACCTGATGCTATGTGCTGCTCTGTTGTGACTCTGACCTTTCAGTGTCACTTTCCGAGGCCCATGTCCCGGCCAGTTCCGATTTCGGAAATGCCTGCAATAGCCTCTGTGCCGAGCGCCTGGCGGCCCAGGGTCTGGACTGTGTGTGCCGGGGTGCAGGCTCCGGCACAGCCTTTTGGGGTGGGGACGCTGCTGGGGGAAGAGGGGCCCTCCCGTCTGCTGTGGGGCTTCCCTGCCCCGGAGGAAGCGGGGCTCGTGGGATGAGGAGCGGCCCCCGGCAGGGGCTCGTAGGGGTCCGCACACCGCATCTGGGCATCCGTGCCTGTCGCTCGTCTGTGTGTACAGTTGGGCGAGGGCGGGGCGGGGGGCCGTGTGCGTCCCTTGCCCCCCACCCCCAGCTGGCGTGGCTGACGGCAACATGCGTGCTCTTGGCAGCTACAGACGGCCTCCTCCCGAAGCTACGTCTCCAGCGCACCCGCCAGTCTCAACAAGGATGAAGACACTGGCCGCTTCCACGGTACCAAGAAAGGCAATTTCCACGAGATCTTTAACTTGACGGAAAATGAGCGACCGCTGCCGGGTACGTGTGCGCGGAGTCTGTGGCCCGCCCTGGCCGGGTGGGAGGCTTGCCCCCCATGCTGGGCCCGGCGGCAGAGGCCGGCTCTGGGCAGGCAGGCGGGAGGAGCCGGGTGTGCTCCTGGGCCGCTCGGGAGGACCCATCCTTCTGCAGTGGATGGTTGAGCCGCAGGAATTCAGAGGGTCCCGCAGAGCGCGGCTCAGAGCTGCTCCGCAGCTGGGGCCTCGCACGAGCAGGTGCGGCCCCCGCACGCCCGGCCGTGACCTGGTGGATGGCAGCTGGGCGCCCAGGGAGCTGGGCTCTTCCAACCGCCTGGCGGGCCGCAGAAGGAAGCCGCAAAGAGCTAAGCTTTGACCTCGTCCTGCCCCCCCGCCCCCCGCTGACCGAGGGTGTGCGAATGCGTCCCCGTCATGGCCGCGGTTCAATCCATTTGCACAACCTGGGCCATGTGCTTCTCCTTTGAGGGGACGAAAGTCCCCGCCGACTCGCGTGCCGGAGCAAACCCCAGCTTTCCAGGAAGGCGGAAGGCGCCCTGCCTTCCTCCCGCGGGTTTTATCGGGGGGTGGGGAGCGTGTTGGTGCATCTCTGAGGGGCCCAGGCTGAATGGTCGCTTCTGTCCCCGCTAGTGTGTGAGAATGGCTGGCGCTGCTGCCTGATAAACCGCGACCGCAAGATGCCCACCGACTACATCCGCAATGGCGTTCTGTACGTGACGGAGAAGTGAGTGCCTCCGCGGGCCGCGCCGCCCCTGCTGCTCCTGCTGAAGGGACTGGCCTCAGGGACGGTCCTGGCTCTCGCTGGACGCCCCAGGATGTGTGACGCCTGCGAACACGAGTCAGATGTGGTGTAGGCGGTGGAGTCAGCTCTAGAAGCGATAAAACCCTCTCTCAGACTGAAATCCTTTGTAAAAAGCCAGTGCGTGGTGACAGGTGGGAGGGGCTCTCTGCTCGGGGCCGCCGCCCGCCCCACAGGGGACCGTGGTGGCCGCAGCCCGGGCGGGCGTCCCTGTGCCATGGCGGGATCATGCCTCTGTCCTCTCTCCTCTCGTAGTTACTTGTGCTTTGAAAGCTCCAAATCAGGTTCTTCCAAGAGAAACAAGGTCATCAAGCTGGTGGACATCACAGACATCCAGAAGGTCAGTGTGGGCCCCCCTCCCCTTCTCCGTTACCCCCTTCAGGATTCTGGAGGAGAGGGGCCGCAGGGCCACGAAGCTGATGGGCTTCAGTCAGATGTGCTCACAGTGAGGGAACCATGCCATTTGGAGACACCAGGGTACCCACGTCAGGGCTCCCGTTCTAGAAGGCTTCCATGCAGAGCCCCCTGGCTCCCGTCAGTGTCTGCGTACCACGGGCCAGCGCCAGGTGCCTTCCCACAGAGGGGGAAGTGGGGAGCAGAGCAAGGTGGGCCCGCCCAGGCGCCTGGGCCCCCTCACCACTGTGTATCCGCCCCTCGGCCCTGAGATGCCCCCCCACCTCAGGTGTGTCCTTAGCCGGTGTTCCCCGAGTGTGGTCATGTGGGGTGGGCAGGGCATGTGCGGTCCCCAGAGGAGGGCTTGGCACACATACTTGGGAAAGGGGGGCCGGGTCCACCTGCTCCCTGCCTCCGGGGTCTGAGCGTCTGGGGTACAGGCTCGCCCGGGCCGGGGGTGGGCCCCAGCTCCCCCCGCAGCCATGAGGACGGGAGGCGCCCCCCGACACGCACTGCCCCTCAGGGAGACCCCATCTCGCTTGGGCCTGCTAGGAGAGAGTGGGATGGGGAAGGGGCAGGTCTGGTTTCTTGGTCAGGAAGTCAGTCTGTCCTCTCGTGGTCGGGAAGGCAGGACTCCGTGGGGCTGGCTGGCTGTGGGCCCCTGGGAGAGTGCCCTGGGGCCTGGGGACAGGCCTGGCCCTGATCCTGGGAGGGGCCCAGGCTGACCGTGTGCTGTCGTCCCTTAGTACAAGGTCCTCTCTGTCCTCCCGGGCTCGGGCATGGGGATCGCTGTGTCAACGCCATCAACCCAGAAAGTAAGTGCTGGGCGGGAATCCGGGGAGATGGCAGGGTGGCCCGGGGGTGTGGCTCTAAATCCTGGGGCACACGGAGCCACCGACCGGCTGGGGACCCGAGGGGCCCCCTCTCTTCCTGTTTCCTTCGCTGTGGCCACCAGAGCCTCCTGCCGCTGCGAGTCCGGGTCAGGTTCCGGGCTGAGGCCTGCGGGGGAGGTGGGTGGGGCCGGGGGGCTTGGCCTCCGTGGGGGGAGGGGGTCTGCCCTTGGGCACCGGACCCTGTGGGGCTCCGCTCGGACCTGGCCTGGGGCCGGGCAAGGCCTGCGTGTCAGGGCGTCCTGCCCTCACGCCCTCCTGGCTGCGCGGGGTCACCCACGGCATCTCCACCCGCCAGCCGCTGGTGTTCGGGGCCATGGTGCATAGAGACGAGGCGTTCGAGACCATTTTCAGCCAGTACATGAAAATCACGTCGGCCGCGGCATCTGGCAGCGACAGCTAGTGTTGATTCTCCCGGGACGATGCTGGAAGGGTTTTGTTTTGGTTTTGGTTTTTTTGTTGTTTTTTTTAAACAATTTGATAGTGGAGAAACAGCTGGACAGCCTCCTGATCTTTTGCAATAATTCCCCTCGATCTGTGGTTTTTATTGTGTTCGCCCCGCATTTCACGGACCCCTTCACGCAGGGGTTGGGGCCCTCAGGCGGTGCCCGCCCATCTCACGGGTGAGGCGCGTCTCGCGGACACGCAGACACGGAGGGCAGGGCATCCTCGGAGGCCAGCGGAAGGGAGGACACACAGGACACGCCCGCCGCAGCCGCGCACCCAGCCCTGCAGAGGCCGAAGCTCCACACCGAAGCCATAGCTGAGGAGCATTGGGGGCCCCTCTTCCCGGGTGTGAAGGATGTTGGTGATGGGCGACTCAGAGGCGCCTTCACCGACCACCCTGAACCGGCCAGTGGGTCTCGCTCCTTCTCCTCTAGCGAGACCTCCTGCTGCGTGTTGTTAGAGGGGTGGCCCGGGGCAGGGGCGCGGCTCGATCTGGCTTAGGCTCTGTGTGACCGTCTGGGGGGGGGGGGGGGGGGGGGGGCGGCGGCCCCCCCCCCGCCACAAAGGCCAGCGGCCATCTCGGCCCCACGAGCCACCAGGAGGCCCGGAGTCAGCGGCCCCTGCGGCCATGGAGTGGTGCACAGGTAGAAGCACATCTTTTTCACACTCTGCTCTTTGGAAAGCCCCATAGACCATCTACCAAGGCTTTGGGGGGCACTCTGAGCTTGGGTTGCTCTCTGAGCTTGGGTTGCTCTCAGATGGAAATCAACCGCAGCATGGCTGGCGCTGGCCTCGCGGTGGAAGCCACCTGTGTTGGTGAGGGAGGGGACCCTGGGGCCTGGGGTGGGAGTGGCCCGGACACACGGCGGGCCAGGCTTGCAGCCGGTCTGCCCGTGGTTGCTGCGTAGGGGGGTGCTCGGGAGGTCACCGGCTGCGGGGAGTGACCGTGAGCGGAGCCCAGAGGCTTGGGGCCGGACGGTCTGCACCCCTGACGTCTGACAGGGTCCTGGCAGGCCCACCCCCGTGCCAGCACACCCCGGGGTGGGAGTGAGCCGCCCCCCTCCCTGCACCTAGCACCAGTCTGGGCCCTGCCCGGGCCGCCAGTGCACTTGTGGCTGAGGCTGGAGGCTGCCGCCTGCAGGCTGGGTTCACTTGGGGACAGGCCTGTGACCTCTGTGAAGGACAGGCTGGGATCGTGGCGGTCAGCGTGATCGCCCTCCTGGTCAGCACACTTCCAACTCCATCACTCCAGTTCCTCGGCTTGTCCCTTGGGCGTCACGGAGATTGTTGTTTTTTGAAGAAACAGAAGATTCTATTTTTTACAGAGAGCAAGCTGTTTTTCTTATTTTTGTATCATTTTTCAGATGTAATTTTTACCTTGGCTCCAATCCTAATTTGCTGGTTTGGGTGAGTCTGGTGGCATCGCTCACGTCCCCCTTCATGGGGGGCCATGGGGGCCACATGCCAGGGTCTGGGCCGCGCTCCTGGGGAGCCGCGCCGACCAGCCTGATGAAGCACACGCCCCACCCGGTCGGTGAGATCGGTGTTCACAAGATCCTGCGGGCCGGCCTTCCGTCAAACTGAAGGCAGAACCCACTCTTAAGTCTTGGCTTTGGCTCCCACCGTGGGTGCAGGCGAACCGGCTCCCGGGGGCCCCGCGGAGGCCTCAGGCACCCCTGGGGACCCTCCTTTGGTGCCTGAGGCGAGGTGGGGTGGGCCCTGAGCGGCGCCCGGGGACAGGCTTCAGGGTGAAGCCCGTGGGTGCCACTTACACCCCTCCCTGGGGCCGCCAAGGGGTCGGCGTGGTGGGGCTCGCCCTCCTCAGCAGAGCGGGTGGTTTGGTTCGAGTCCCTTCTGAGGAGAAAGGGAGATGAAAACTGACCACGTGTGGGGCGCGGCTGCGGGGGCCCTGGGGGGTCGTGCGCCAGTGGCCGGGCCCTTGGGGAGAGCGCAGCCCGCACGGGCTCCCGGCGGCCCAGCAGAGAGAGCCCGGAGTTTCTATCAAATTGTGTAAATCTGAGCAGATATTTAATTTCTATGACTAATCACTGAACTAGAATATGAATGTCACATTTTTTATGTCTGAAGCTTGAGTCTATTTTGGATCTGTAAATAATCGTTACTGCTGTCACTTTTGTTCAACAAAAGGATTGTACTGTATGAAGAACCGATGAAAAACCCCCATAACATTTTTTTAAGAAAACTTTGTTTGTTTAAAGAAGTCTTGTATAAATTATAATTTTTATTTAAATAAATCTGAAATGCTTTGTGCTCAGGGAGGGTGGGGGCGCTCGGCCTCCAGGGCAAGGCCCCTGTGCATCACAGGCAGCTGAGTGGGGCAGGCGGGCACCCCTCCCGGTGGCCCAGGACCCCCGTGGCCGCCAGGGCTTGGAGGGTAGCGGGGTTTTGGGCTCCAAAGCTGTCTGGGTGAGGGGTGAGGTGGGTGCCGGGGGTGGGGGGTGTGCTGTGGGGTGGGGCCATGAAGCGGGGTGGGGGGCGCATGGACATCGAGGGCAGGTAGGGGCCCCAGTTCCTGAAGACTGGAGTGCCAGGTTGGGGCATCCAGGGCCTGGTGCTGGGTGGCCAGGCAGCGGGACCATCACTCTGCTGGGATATGGAGGAGCCTGGAAAAGGGTCCTCGGGGTTGGGGTGCGGGTCCTGGCCCCACCTGGGCATGACTTCCCTGGGAGTGGTGGGCATCTCTGGGACCAGGTGCTACCTGCAGCCCTCCCCCTGGGGTCTGGGCAGAGGGGTCCCCGGTGGCACCCGTGGTTCAGCCGGTCTAGACACTGACAGTGGGGACAGAGGGATGCGGGAACCTGCCGACGTCTGAAACCACTAGTCCTGCGTGGAGCTGAGCTGGGCACAGCTAAGGGCACCCAGCCTCCTGCACCCCGAGCCCACGGGAGCCCTACCCAGGTCCCACGAAGTGAGCTGGAGCCGAACAGAAACCAGGTCTGGTGGGCCAGCCCTGCGCTCAGAGGTGTGGCTTTTGTATACTGCATCCATGCACCTGTTCATCCATCCCTCCATTTGTCTTTTTATCTATCCATCCATCCGTCCATCCACCCATCCATTGCAGGCACTGTCATAGGGGCTGGGACGTTGCTGTGACGGGCCAGTGGTCCCTGGGGGACTGGGCACCCAGTGAACACTCTCGGGACTGCTGCACCCCCCACCCTGACTCTCCTGATGACAAGCCCCTCTGCAGCACAGCCCCAGGAGACAGGCGTGCGAGCTCCTGGCCCTGCGGGGACGCCTGCTCTGGGGATGGATACGGGTGAGGAGGGGTCGGGTGAGGAGGGGTCGGAGCTCAGGGTGTGGGCAGCACGGGCCCCTCCCTGCCCACCCTTGCTGATGGGGCTCCCGGTTTGCCTGTATTATTTAATGTGTCAGTAAAGTAGCACAAATAAGTCTAATTGCTATTGTAAGAACTACTTGGGCAGTGTATTTTGGTAGAATTGGTATTGTTGGCAGTCTGTATGTTTTAGTTTGTGCGTTTACAGCAGTCCAACAGCTGAAGCTGTTGGCTTCCCCCTGGGGCGTCCGTGAAACCAAAGGAAGCGCCTTGGTGGCCTATGGTACTTGGGCCTTTATTCTTGGGGAGACCGAGCCCCTGCCCACCTGCTGAAATCTGCTCCCCCCCCACACGCTGGAGCTGGGAAGCCCGCCCCTCTCCTGCAGGGTCCCGGCACCTCCTCCGTCACGGGCTGGCATTGTGCTGGGGGTGCAGGGCTCCCAGCCTGTGGGCGGCAGAGGTGGGGGGCGGGCACCCTGGGCCCTGCTCCTTTAGAGGCACTGTTGTCCCTTCTGTACTGGGAGTCAGCGCTCGCTGGCACAGATGGGGGGAGATGAAATGGGTAAGGTCCTAAAGGGAGCTACTCAACTATTCCTACTTGTAGATGATGGTACAGTAGAAAACCCCCAGATCTGGAGGTAAGGTGTTTTTTTTTTTAAGATTTTATTTATTTGATGGAGAGAGCCCAAGTGGGGATAGGGGAGGGGTGGGGGGGAGAAGCAGACCCCCCCTGCTGAGCAGGGAGCCCGACACGGGGTTTGATCCCAGGACCCTGGGACCATGACCTGAGCCGAAGGCAGACCCTTCACCAACTGAGCCACCCAGGCGTCCCATATATGTAAGTTTTCATAGTAAGAGGCGTGTTTTCTGGATACCAGATGATACACTAAAAAAAATTTAAAAATCACATTTCTATGTAAAAACAAAAAAATTTTAGAATAGTCACAAAATACAGTTTTTAGGAATATATCTAAACAATTCAGAGATTGTGGGAAAATTATAAAACCACCTGGATGGCTCAGTCGTTAAGCGTCTGCCTTCGGCTCAGGTCGTGATCCCAGGGTCCTGGGATCGAGCCCTGCATCGGGCTCCCTGCTCGGTGGGAAGCCTGCTTCTCCCTCTCCCCCTCCCCCTGCTTGTGTTCCCTCTCACGCTGTCTCTCTCTGTCAAATAAATAAATAAAATATTAAAAAAAAAAAACTATTCGAAAGACCTGAGTGAGGACTTATAAGTGGGAATGTATGCAGTGTTCCTAGACTGGAAAGTTCAGCTTCATGATGGAAACGTCTTCTCAGACGTGCAGACTTAAGAAGCAAGTTCCAGAAAATGACACACAGTGTGACTCCTTTCAGGTGAAGAGCAAAACCTGCGGAGGAAGACTTCACGTTGCAGGGAATGTCAGCGTGTAGGGAAAGAAAGCACCTTTCTTGTGCTCGCTTGGGCTCGGGGGCTGTGGCCCGCCGAGTAAGCAGGCAGGTGAACAGGAGAAAAGGCAAAGAATTATTTGATGCTAATAGCTTATTTTTTGTACATGGAGACATTTATAGAAAAAGATCGGAAAACGCAAAGAAGCAGTTAGACCCTGGGGCTTATGCACCATTTTAACAAAAGGGCAAATTTGTCAAGACGTGACAAGACGAAGGAAAAGGGGTTTGGGCTTCTAAGGTAACAGGACATTATTGGGTAATTTCATGTGGGGAAGTGATGGAAGGTTAAGGGTTGTGCAGACCCATCTCGGCGCCGACCGTCCCAGTGGTGGAGGCGGTTCAGCTCCTGGCGCTAGAGAGGAAGACACACCTTCTCAAGGGGAAGTTCACGTCCTGCTTTTCAGCAGAGGGGGTGGGGGGCAGAGGGCGCCTCTTGCATTTGCTGCTTCTTGACAGTCTGCAGGTTAAAACAATCCTTATGCCAAAGTGGCCTATTTCAGGGTGAGCTGTTCTGACCCCCTCATATGGATAAACGAGGGAATGATACACTGGAAACGGGGGTCCCCCCACAAGGGGAACACAGGGACTTTGGGGTGAAGTTCCATCTCTTGGTCTGGGTGGCAGCTACAAATCGTTCGTTTTATTCTTGTTCTTTCAATTGCTAAAAAGGTGGGGGCGCCTGGGTGGCTCGGTCGATTGGGCTTCCGCCTCTTGATTTCGGCTCAGGTCATGATCTCAGGGTTGTGGGATTGAGCCTGTGGTCGGCTGGGCTCCGTGCTCAGCAGGGAGTCTGCCTGGGATTCTCCCTCTCCCCCTCCCCCTGCTTACATGCAACTGCTTGCTCTCAAAAAAGTAGTAAAAAAATGGGCATATGGGGCGCCTGGGTGGCTCAGTCGGGTGAGCGGCTGCTTTCGGCTCAGGTCATGATCCTGGGGTCCCGGGATCGAGTCCCGCGTCGGCTCCCTGCTCAGTGGAGAGCCTGCTTCTCCCTCTCCCGCTCCCTCTGCCGCTCCCCCTGCTTGTGTTCCCTCTGTCTCTCTTTGTGTCAAATAAATAAATAAAATCTTTTAAAAAAAATGTGCATATGTTTTCACAAAACATGCTCTACTTTGAACAAGAATTTATAAAAGAGAAAAAGAAACTCTGCCCAAAGTAACTTTATTTTTGTCTTCCCAAACAAATCAGAGCAAATACGCCATTTTCCAATCTTGAAACCAGCAAGATTACAAGAAAATGAAGCCACCCTTTCAGTCCGTACTTGCCGGTTACACAGGATTGTACCAGAACAGTCGCAGCCGCCCACCGAGCAGCAAGGCACCGCGCACCAGGTGCTCACTTGGTGAGGAGAATAAGCAGGAATAGGGTCAGAGCGTAATGGCTGCCATGGTGTTTTTGCACCAATAAGTCACAAAGGATGTTAAAACATAGACTAACCTTCTAAATGATCCTAAGTTTTCACTAACCCACCATCAGTTCTGTTTTTTTTCCCCCCCAAGCCCCTGGAGTCCAGGTGTTGTGGGGCCTTCCTGGAGATCCACGCCTCTCGCCCAGGTGGGAATGTCTGAACGGTCCTTGTGTCCTGTGTGCAGATCATCGAGAACTCTCGGGGTGTTCTGACAATCACACATGCCCTGAGAAGAGCCCCAAGGCCTGCGGTTCTGGACGTCGGGCAGCCGTGCGGGAAGCCCAGGGCGGGGCCAGCTCTCTCGGGGAACAGAAAATGCTTACCGTGGCCTGGACTGTTTTTCTAAAATTGGCAGTGGGTTTTAGGACAGACCAGTACCGTTTTGGGGAAACTTGTGAAGGAGCACATTCTGGCCGGCCGGGCCCTGATGTGTGACCGCTGCTCCCGCACGGAGCTGCCCGTCCTCCTTTGGTTTCTTCCAACCAGCAGCGAGCACTGAGAATCACAAATGGCCAGTGTAGCTTTACTTTCCGTACCCAGACTCTGCACCCACCCACGACTTAGTAGACCCTGCCGTGTGTACAATTACTTGATAATATGGTCTATTGAAAAAAAGCCACTGTTTTGTCTGACCTGGATGGGACTGAATGATAAAATAGGAGATTTCATGTATACTTCAAAATACAAACGCTGCAAGTGAATTCTAAAAATGTATGATGCCTGTGGATGCCAACAGGACCAGCTGCTCCTCGCACAACGGCGTGTAAATGACCTGTAACAGGCTTCCTGTCTCTGCAAACCAGAGTTCAGGCTGCAGCTTGTGTTTAAAATAGAGCTATTTTTGATGCATCTTCCATATACCTAAGTGTGAGTACAAAGAAAATGAGGCCAGAGCGCAGACGAGGGCCACCCCAGGGACCGGGGGTCACAGCTACAGGGAACGCCCTGGCCCCTGCGGCTCCAGCACATCAGCAGACATCTACGGCACCAACCACGGAGACACTATGTACAGTCTTCCGGTTGAAAAGGACATCATTTTCAATAAATATATAGAATCAAGTGTGAAGAAAAGCACAAGTCTGGACCACGTATGTAGACTTGGGGCCTGCACCCAAGGAGCCCCGGGAACTCGGGACCCCCTCCACCCCCAAAGGGGCTCGGGCACTCGGGTTTGAAGTGAACACAGAATTCACCAAGTGAGTTTGTACCTCCTGCACACCCGCTTCCTTCCGCTTCCCCACGAAGCCCACCTGTTACCCACTGGGTCGCTACGAAGCATCAGTACTCTACATTTAAAATAGGTGCCAGGTCCAGAGCTCATGATTGTTCTTGCTACCGGCTGGATTGTCCCAGAAGCACTAGCACGATGAAAGCAAGGGCTGGGATTTTAAAGAAACAGTGTCCCTCCCGTCAGTAGTGTCCTTCTCCCTAAAATGGTCCCGCTCTGAGGTCACTGAAGCTGCCCAGGATGCACCGGATCCAGTAAGCGCGTTCCAAGCACAAGTTAAGGTGAAGATAACTTGAAGGCAATCCAGTATTTTCCAAAACCTGATCACAAACCTTCGAGTAAGTCCTGCAAAGTGCATCAGTGAGCTGCTAGATACCTCCTGTCCAGACGCTGTGACCTCACATCCACTGTCCCTAAAATGACTGCGGTAGGGCCGCAGATGGGCCCTTCAAAACTGCGCCGTTGGCTTAAAATCTAAGAAGGCAGCGACCCCAAACCGACAAGTGCCATTTGCTGAGAATAAGTTATGTGAAACGCAACCCACAGGTTCACAGAGAGCTGAAAATGCCAGGTATGTTCACGAAATTGTTGACAAAGGTATTCTGTCTAAAATCAAGATCTAACTATCAAAAATAAATTTCTAAATTTAAATGTATGTATCAATGTAATTGTTCTGCAGAAATTTTCTTAAATAATGTTCACGCTTCCCAAGCACAGCAAGGCAGGTGATGCGGGAGGGCGGCTCAGCTGTCCGGTTCTTCCTTAGGACCCTCCTCGATGCCCCGTGCAAAGAGGCGAACGAGCTGGCAGTGGACCCTGCAGAGACAAAGGGCCATGTGTGACCCCCAGTGCCCCCTAACCCTTGGCCCCACAGCTGGTCAAGGCTGGGGGGGGTGGGGGTCTCCTCATGGCCGGCTCTAGGCCTGACCCCACAGGGACAGGTCAGGGGCGCAGAGTGACTTATCCACACTCTTGAGAAGCCTGTTTTGTAAAGGGAGCGGGGGACCCTGCAGACGCGGTTCCAAATCCAGCACCCGCCCTTCAGCAGCGTGACAAGCCTCTAGATGACCATATTCCAAGCTTTCAGGGCAGTGGGGAGGGCTCCATGGGGGGTGACCCCCCTCATACGGGATGTGCAGGATGTCTGGTCACCCAGGACGAGTGGGCTCCACCCCAGCCCTGGCCCGGGGGCCCGAGGCGTGGCCAAGGTGCCCTGGAGACCCTGCCTCCCACAAGCATGAGGACGAGAGCCGAGGGGCTCAGCGGGCCGCATGGCCACCAGCCCACCGGCAGGGCCACCGTCCCCCTTAATTAATGCCGTTGCAGCCTCCTCCAAGATGTTCAGTAAGAAAAACCCCCTAACTAAGCCACTCGCTGGTTAAGGCATGGTAGTATTATCAAGATACATAGGGTATACTTGACAAAAGAATGCTGTTCCTAATCTTCAAAGTAACCTACTTTTTAAGTAAATCCTTAAGCCACGATTCAAAATGATTCCATGTCTTTAACTTGTAAAATTGCAGAAGCTGAATCCCTGCGTACACAACTGTCCTGGCAGGTTTTCCTGCGGCCTCGTGGCCACCGGTTGTCCTCGGATGCCTGCGGGTCTGCAGAGGACCCACTGCCCCGCGAGCTGACCCCCAGCTCCAGCCACAGGTGGGGCTCCCTGAGGCCCGAGGGGCTGTTGGCGGACTCGGTGACGTGGGACCCAGGAAGGGTCTGCCAAGGTGGCCGGCTTGTCTGTCTAAGGAGTATGTCGTGTTGTGACCCGCGTGGTGATAGCCCAGTATCCCTCCCCAGCGAGATGGCGGTGCGCCGGGGGCTGACGCCCCAGAGCGTGCTCCTGGGCCGGGGGACGCGGGGCTCACGGAGCCGCGGGAGGCACCTCGGGCGCGCACCTGACCTCGATGGAGGAGCTGCTCAGAATCTCCCCGTCGCAGTTCCAGGAGCTGTTGGACGCGGTGCCGCAGCAGGGGGGCGTGTCGCTGCACACGGGCCCGAACCGCGTCTTCCCCCGCTCCCTGAGGCCGCCTTCCTCGTCCTCCGGCTGCTTCGACAGAAACTGGAATTTCCTGACTCGATAAACTTCCACGAAAGCGAAGTCAAACTACCGGGAGACACAGCAGGGGGTCGTGTTCTTAGAGGCGCTGTGCCGGGGAGGCCGGGCCGTGGGCAGCGACCATGGCTGCGTCCACAGCCACGAGCGCTTTCTAAAGAGTCCTGGCAGGGGCGCCCGGGCGGCTGCGTCGGTTGAGCGTCCGACTCTTGGCTTCATCTCAGGTCACGACCTCAGGGTCGTGGGACTGAGCCTCATGTAGGGCTCTGCCCCACCCCCCGCTCTCTCTAAAAGATAAATCAATCTTTAGGAAAAAAAAAAAAAGAGGGGCGCCTGGGTGGCTCAGTCGGTTAAGCGTCTGCCTTCGGCTCAGGTCATGGTCCCAGGGTCCTGGGATCGAGCCCCGCATCGGGCTCCCTGCTCCGCGGGAGGCCCGCTTCTCCCTCTTCCACTCCCCCTGCTTGTGTTCCCTCTCTCACTGTCTCTCTCTCTCTGTCAAATAAATAAAATCTTTAAAAAAAATAAATAATAAAAATGAAAATAAAAATAAAAAAAAAGAGAAAGAATTCCGGTGGTTCCCTAGCAGTAACTTGTAGAATTCTTTACCTTTTTCACAAGCACTATTTTAAAAGCCACATAAAAACACCATTAGACTAGACCTTAAATACAATTTAAGTAAAAAAAAAAAAACCAAAAAACCAAAAACAACCCAAATCTGGGTAAAATCAGAGACGGACCCACAGCTCCGGGCCTCTCGATGCCGTGAGACGTGGGGTCTTCCGCTGTGTGGGCAAGGATGCCCGCGACTACGGACACGTTTGCTGGAGGAGACTGTGTATTGCTAGCGAGCCTTCACCAGGAGTCCCTGAGACTAGGCGCTTCCGGTAGGTGAGGCCCGGCCCGGAAAGCCGCTCCCAGCGCACCGCGAGCGGGGACAGGGCCACGGACCCCACTGGCCACTGTGGGGCGCGGCACGAGCCCGCCACTCACCTGGTCGTACTGGTTGGTGTGCCTGACGAGAAACCTCAGAAAGTTGAAACGGGAGCATTTCCGGATAAGGATGAGGTCGGAAGACCCGTCCCCCAAGTGGGCGGCCGGGGAGAGGCCCCGGGGGCTCCGGGGACAAGCACAGGACATGTTGGTGGCGTTGATGGCCAGGAACTTCCCGCAGACCACCTTCCACTCCTCCACCTCCTCTGAAGCAAAAAGGGGTGTTGCGGACGGGACGTTAGACACGCCGGGCGTCCCGAGACCATCCCCACAAGTTCCCCACGCAACTGACCCCCCAGCAGCAGCACAAAGAATCCTGTGCCGACCGCCGGGCCCAGAGGGCCGCCTCCCAAAGGCAGAGCTGTTTCGCTGGTCCCCGTGGGGACTTTCGGACAATTTAGAACGGGTCGGTCGCCCAGTCTGGCCTGCCCCTGATTTTGTGTGGCCTGTGAGCTAAGAGTAATTTTCACATTTTTAAATGGTTGGAAATAAGAGGAATGGCATGTTGTGACGTGAACATGCTGTGGAGCTCTCAGTGCCCATCAAGAACGGTTTGGGGTGCCAATTCCCTCGTGAGTGCCGGGCCAAGCCCAAAGGCTCGCGTGTGAGCGGGTGGCAGGGGCGCTCGCTGGGCCCCGGGCAGAGCATCGTGGGGGACGGGGGCCCGGCTGGCGCCCCAAAAGCGGCCGTCCCCTGCCATCTGCGCCTCCCCAAAGGCTGGCAAATGGCAACCATCTGCTGCCGCCGGGAGCTCAGGAGAAAGGGATGCGCCGAGCAGCACCGGCGGAGGGAGAGACCGGCCGCGGGAAGACGCGATGTCCTCCAAGACTCAAAAGCGCGCAGTTCTGCACACGCTCACGACTGTGTTTCTGAGACGTTACCCGTGTTCGCTAAGCCGTACAACGACTTCTTCTGCTCCTCCTCCAGCTGCTGCTTGCTCTGTCTGCACACAAAGCATCTGAAAGACAAACAAGGACAGCACAACCCTCCCTGCGGTGCGCAGACGGGGCCGCGGACGCTCGGCGCGGACACGGGACTGCGGTAATTCCCATGTGACAGCAAGCCCGGTTTCAGAGGCTTAGCTAACGATATTTCCTTTGCACACCAACTTGAATTTTCCAAATTAGATCTTGTAACAACTACACATGTCCGCGAGCCCTGCTCTCACACGTGTAAACATCACAAAAACAGAGAGTCCTACGAGGCCGTGAAGCCAGGTCTGCTTGGCCCCCCAGTGAGCGGCGCTCCGGCAGGAGTCAAGGCCAAGAAGGGTACAAAATCCACAGGCCAGGCGATGCCGTGGCTCTGTTCCAGTGGCTGACAAGCGAGTAGACGGCTGGGAGTGTCCTGCGGCCCTGGGCACCACTGGCCTCCCTCACTGTCCCCACGCCAGTGAGATTAGCTCAGCAGCTCAGCTTAGCAACACGACGGTAAAACAGCTCCTGCCTCTAACTGTTCCGATTTATGGTCTCAAATCCTTCACTTCCACAAGGCACGCACGTGGGTGCACGTGACCCCGGAGGCCCCGCACCGAGCTAGGCCATCGCTGGGCACGCGAGAACCACGTTCTCCCATCAACACCGAAGATGCCCCGCGTCCGCGGCAGGAGCACAGCCCCAAAGAGCCCGGCTTTCGTTCATGCCACGTGCAGCAGACACGCGGGAGAATGCGCTTACCCTGCCCGGCAGGGCTTCCTGTCCCTCGGAGACCCCACCGTGTGCCGTGCTGGCAGGAAAGACACCGTCCCCTCGTAGCAGTGATGGGAGAGAAAGGTCTTCAAACCTGAGAGCAGAGCGCAAAGCCATCAGCCCAGCGGCACCTCCCGGCCACGGGACCCCAGGACACGCCACCAGCGTGTTCTGAGACCCGGGTGCTGGGAGCGTTACTGTGAGTTACCTGAGAAGTCGTATCTGATGAGACCCATCCACCGCTTCTTCTCGCTGTCCTTGATGATGTCCCCGTAGAAGCCATACCCCAGCAGGGACACGGAGTATCGCAGCAGCGTGCTGTTGTGATGCACGGAGGACACGTCCATGGGCAACGAGTCCCCTGCGGAGAGAAGCGGTCCCCTGTCCACTCCCACGCTGCACCTCCTCCTGCCCCGACGGGGCCTGGTGGGCACGTGCCGACGCAGATGATTAACACGGGAGGGAGGCAGGGGGCTGTGCCCCGGGGGGCCGGGTGCCTGCGCTTCATTCAAATGACAGAATTTCACGAACATTCCCAAAACAGGTTTGGAAAGCTGTCCTGTCGGGACAGAACACCCACGGCCCCACGGAGCGCGTGCCGTGCTGCGAAAGGAAGGAAAGGCACCCACGTTCTAAAACTGGCAATCATCACTGCGCGACTCAGCAGCACTTGAATGGCTCCAGTCACAAGGAAGAAGCACTCGCTGGGGACAAGGCGGGAGCCACGTGCTTATGGAGCAGGGGCCGTGGCCATTCCTGACTTTCTGAGCCAGCGACTAGCAACACGGGTGGCCTCCCGCCCTTGGGGCTGAGCGCGCAGGTGCCCAGTAAATGCCACATGGAAGGGGTGTCGCAGGCGCCATGGATTCGGGCCTGGGCAAGCCTGTCCTGATGGGGACGGGGGCTGCGCCCCGGACACAGCACCAGAGAACAGAGCACCGGGCGAGCGTGGGGCATGTTGGGGCCAGAGGGTCGGCCTGGCCCGCACACGGGGACACTGAGGCAGCTGGTCAGGTCACAGGGTGTGGCTGCAGAGCAGGGGCCCCAGACGGCTCTGAGCAGGGTCTGTGCTGATGAAGCATCCCCCCCCACGGCCACGGGAAGACAGGACGAGATGGGAGGTGGCAAGGAACCAGGGCCCAGGGAGCCCTGCTGGCGGGACGCCCAGGGAGGTCCACACTGCTCACACGGCCAGTGCCACGGACAGGGACCTACCCACGATGATGTGCAGAGCGGACGTCTCCGCATCGTTTGTGCCCACTGTCGAAAAACACACACAGTCTGTTGACCCTAAAGAAGGAAAAAGAAAAATAAAAAAAAAAAAAGAAGGAAAAAGAAAAGGAAGGTCTTGGTTATCATAATAATTTAAAATTGCAGCAGGTTTCCAACGGAGTGATCTGCTCTTCCCTTTGGCCCTGGAGTAAGGACACAAGGACTAAACACGAGCCATACAAAGTGAATACTGGACAAATGGAGATGAATTCATCAGAAATGCGGAGACTGCCTGCAATAATCCCACTAGTTCCTCACTGAGCTTTCAGACACTGCTGCCCCGTCTTGGGGAGCGGAGCCCGAGACATGTGGGCAGTGGTGGCGGCCAGGGCGTCGCTCCGCACTCTGCATGGCGTCTATGTCCTCCCTTCACCCACCAGCGGCCACAGGACCCACGGGCATATGCAGAGTCATCACCAGCGGGAATGTGGGTGCAGAACAAGAACAACCCGTGGACGTCCCAGAAAAGTCCCCGTGGAAGCCCACGCCCTGACACCGGCAGCCCCGTGGAAGCCCGCGCCCCGACACCGGCGGCCCTGGTCCACAGCCTGCACCCCGACACCGGCGGCCTGATTCACAGAATGCTCTGGGGCCCATCGCTGCTCAAAGACGCACGGCAGCCGTCACCCAACAGACTGGAGGGGACCCCATGGAGCTCAGCAAGCACATGCCTCCCACTGACATGTTCGTCCGTAGACTGAGGGTAACCTCAGGGCACCCAGCTGGTGCCAGGATCCCCGGGGCATGGTGATGATGCTACGGACCATCCCTACGTCTGTCCTGCTTCTAACTGGGGCATAATCCAGGTGACTGTTCTCAGCCTGAGTGGGCAGAGAATCTCCTGGGCTCTTATTTATCACAGGTTCCTGAACCCCACTCCCCCGAGATTCTGATTCAACAGGTCTGGGATGGGGCTGAGCAATCTGAATTTTAACACGTCTGCTAACTAGGTGAAAAAGCCTAGCGTGGATTTCCCAAGAGTAAAGTGCGTGACAGGATCTAGAATTGCACCATATTGCCACAGACCCAGACCCATCAGGGAATAACCGGAGTTAACAGGCACAGAGGCCTGCCCGTCAGCAGGGCCCAGATGCCCCGCCCTCGGGCCCCCTGAACAATCCATTGATTCTCCCGTCCTAAGTGATGTCCCCTGAAGCCGGAAAACTCGTGGTTCCCCACAGACGTGCTGGATTGCAAGCACCCTGTGTTATGTCTCAGAGTAACAGAACCCGGTCCAGTTTGTCATCAGAGTGGAGGCTCTTATTTCATCCAAGTGCCCATATGGCTTCTGAATGCTGGTAAGTTATATAAACACACACGTATGTTTTTAATATGGGTATTTTTCTTTTTTTGTTAATCTTAACCTGAAGACTTCAATAGTATCTCATTCCAAAAATGAGCCAAAAAGTAAAAATTTTTAAATATTTAAGACCATAAGAGTAAGTCTTAAAATATTAAAAATTCACAGCAACAGCATCTAAGAACCCGTGGGGTTTCAGAGTCTCCCACACCCTCATCTTTGTAACGAAGGGTACCTGGATAACCAGCATGAACATTTCTAAGAGAACAAACTCTGAAAGAGCTATTTAATGACTCTGAACTATGCCCTCAGGGAGTTCTTCCCATCGTCAGAACTTTCCGGGATGTCCGCGGAGCCCACTTGCTCCCCTTGCATGCCCCAAGCCTTGTTTACTTTGCCGGCACGCCGACCCGGACTCCCAGGCTCGCCTGCGTTCACAGAGATGGGACTGCACGCCCAGCAGGAACCCCGCAAGGATGCCCAATAAGCACGAGCGGCGAGCGTCTGGTCCCTATCCCACCCCGCGGTCTAGACGCCCGAGGCCTCCCTGGGCCGGACACCACCACGACGGAAGCGGAGCCTCGGGATGGAACTCCCCGGGGCTCACGTGTGTGCGTGCTGGGGCGCCCGGCAGAACCACCGCAACGCGGGCTGTGGTGATGACCCATCTCCGGGATGGCGCCGCGCTGTTCCCAAGCTGCTGGAGGCGTCTCATCCACGGAGGTGTGGACGGGACAGGGCGAGGCGCCCGGCCTTCCTGGTCAGGCATCCAGGCCCTGGCCGGGCTGGGGTGTGGCCCCCGTGTACTTGCGTTCCACGATTTCCCAGGGCCCTGCCCCTGGACAGGCAGGCGACCTGTGCTTCTGACAGGTTTCGGGGATGGTTTTGCTGAAAAGTCAGATTTTTAAAGGAGGTCATCACTTAGCTTACTCCCTCCTCAGGAGCCTCCTTGGGGCCACCGCCCTCTGCCTGCAGCTCCCCCTGCGCCCCACCTCTTGCTCCCCGCTCACGCCTCCTGGCCAGAGCCAGGCTCACCCTGCCCTGGGGCCCCTGCAAGGACCACTGCTGCCCAAAGGCAGGGCTGTCCTCACTGCACTCTGGGTCCTGGACCAGTGTCACCCCAAGAGGCCTCCCAGAGCACCCTGTCTGCAACGGCATGCCCCCCCCCCAACAGCTCGGCTCTCTGCGTTCTGTACCCACAGTTGGCCTCCCTGCACCCTGGGGGCCCCGCCTCACTCACTCTGGGGCCCACAGCGGGGCTGGGAAGCCTGTGTTGCGAGCGTGCGTGATCACTGACTGAACGAGTGACCTGCCCGAGCTCCAGGGAGGCTTCAGTTCGTGGCACCTGCCGTTTTGAAGAGGCCAGCCTGGCGCAGGTGGAGAGACCCGGGTGGCAGCAGACAAGTCCCCCAAACACTGTTGCATCCTTTTAACTTTGAGTGTGCTTCAACAGCTCATCCCTCGGATGTGACCTAACCCCCCGGGCATTTCCTCAGACACCTGTGTGGCCAAGGCTTTGACCAAGAGGAAGCCCCAGCTGGAAACGCAAAGTCTGGCTCAGACCAGGCGACAGGAAGGGGTTCCACGACGAAGTCCGCAGAGGCGCGGGGGCTCTGGTGTGCCCACGGAAACAAGGACAGAGGGCCCCCTCCTTCTGTGGCCTGGCTCCTTCCTCTAAATCCTCAAGTGGTAAGAGACTGGAAATTACAAAGTATCAGCACCGGAGCAGTGAGTTGGTCTCTGACACACTCTGTCTCGGACCATCCCAGCCACCCCGAGGCTGCCACACACCGGCTAGAACCCCGCAGCCGGCTCCCCCGCAGCGCTGGCCATCTACTTCCGAGTGCTGGCCCCATGGCCCCCAAGGAGCCCCGTCTCCAGTCTCCATCAGAACTCTTGCCCCCACCCCGATGCCTCGTCTTCGTGCCCCCGGGTTACCAAGGCCAACATCACGGGGTCACCCTGCTGCCTCCTTCATCCTTATGCGATGCCTGTTGGCTCTGCTGCAAAGCTATGCCCACGTCACAGCCGACCACACGGCCACCGGCCCAAGCACTGGCGTCCTCCCTGGGGCTCGGGCAACGCCGCCCAGAATAGAGCGCAGGGGGTGGTCTTCCAGCCCATTCAGATAACACTGCCCACCGGCCTCTACAACATCCTCCCTCTCGAGCCGGGTCCTTGTGCAGGCCCCTCGGTGACTCCACTCCTGGCACACCTCTGCCAGCCGGGCCCCTTTCCTGGGCACACAGCCCTGCCCCAGCTGACCCTCAGCATACCCACATCCGTGCACAGCCGGCCCCTCACTTGTCGCCTCTCAGGAAGGGCCCTGGGCTCCCCACAGGGAAGCCCCTCCTGGCCACTGTCCCTGAACCCATGTCCTCCACAGCATGCCCGCCATGGAAAACTCTTCTGCGCCCACGTTTCCTGTGCGGTGGGGGCCTCCTGTGTGGGCAGAGGCCACGCCCATCTTGTCCTCTGCCGAACCCCAGGGCCCAGAACACCCACAGCACGCACTCTGCCCGTCCCCACGACCCTGCCGACGTGTGGGAGCTGCAGCAGCTCCTACGCTGCGCTTCTGAACATTAACAGCTTAGGGCTGTAAGCATCAGTGCTACTGTGGGCCAATGGCCATAAAAGACATCACGGAAAAGCAGTTCAGCCGGTAGAAAAATAAAATTCATGTCGTCCAGAACAGACCACATGCAAACTCAAAAGACAGAAGCCTAACTTGGGAAAGAAGCTGTGAGCTGTAACCAATCAAGAATAAATACGTCTACTGTATAAACAACGTCATTCCGTCGGAAAAAGCCTTCTCCTGACTGTGGGGCGGGGCAGAGCGGTCCCTCGGGGGGCCTCGTGACTGCTCATCTCGGTCCATAAAGCAGCACCACGACGGCAACCCTTCACAGTGGTTGTAAACGGCGTGACATGATGCGCCATGTGGGATTTTTGCCCAGCCTGTGTCACTGTCACTCGGGGGCAGACCCGGGTGCTGGGCAGGGGCACCGCCTCCCTGTGGAACTGCTTGCAAAGCCTCGAACCAACAATGCACAGGCTTTACTTAGCTCAACACGGTAATTTTTCAAAGAACTAGGCACTTCCTACAGACACAAAACATGCTGAGCCAGGGGCGCCTGGGGGGGCTCAGTGCATTGGGCGTCCGACTCTCGGTTTCGGCTCAGGTTGTGATCTCAGGGTCATGGGATCAAGCCCCACATCGGGCTCCAATCTTGGTGAGGAGTCAGCCTGAGATTCTCTCTCCCTCTCTGCCCCTCTTCCCCCCAACCCTCAAATAAATAAATAAATCTGAAAAAAACAAAACAACACACTGAGCCAGGCCTCTTTGGGACGCAGCCCAGGAGCCCACGGGGTGAACAGCCCCTGGTCCCCATCCCTCCGCATCTCATACAGGAGGGCGGCCCACCCCAGGGCATGAGCCCCCCACCAGCTCCCATGCCCCACACCGCGGCCTGGGCTACAAGCCACTTCCAGAAAACCACCTGCTTCCCTGGCTTCCTCCCTTCTCGATCGTGCTCTGGGGTCCCCTGCCCCCCAGCCCCCCACCCCCGCCAACTGGTCAGTCCTTGGAGAGCAGACGGTCCCCCAGCCGCCGGCTTCTCAGTGCCCGTGGGAAGCAGGACAGGACTCCCTCAAACACACATCAGGGGTCCTTTACTTGCTCATAAACTGTCTCAACCAAGTCTGCACCCGTGTGGTGATAAAAATCACCGTTTCAGCAACAAAATGAACCTGAAGGAAAACCAAGCTTGATGCCCCCAGGGCAGGGGGGGGAGGCGGCGCCCCTACCCGCAGGGATGATGCCAATCCTGAGCGGGCTGGGCACCAGCGCTGCCCTGGGCTGGTTCTGGTCCACACCGGCGTTCTGCTGTGTCCTTCCGATCAGGCCGTGTAAGACCTCGCTGAACATGCCGTCTCCACCGACGCAGACGATTCTGCAGGGGGACACGGGCTGTTAGGGTCCCTCTGCTACCCCCACGACCCCCCCACAATGCTGCACCCTCCGCTGGGGCCCCGCTCCTCACGGAGAATGTCCTCCTCCTCAGTCTGCAAGCCAGGTGCTTCCCCTCAGGCCACAGTGCTAAGAAATAAGCCGACAAGACAAAAGCAGAACAGACCTCTCCCTCCACGGCCCTCCACCAGCCAGACTCTGGCAGGCAGCCCCGCGCCCTTAACCTTCACGCTGCCGGGACTCCGGGGGCCGACCCGCCCCGCCGAGCCCTCAGCTCACGCTCCCCACACTGGCTGCACCACGGTCTCCAAACCCGACTGCAGCTCCTTATCTCGTGGCTTGGTAACGTCACTGTCACTTGGGTTACGAGTCCCTGCGTGTCTCCTGTAGGATTCCATCACCGGGACCAGTCAGTTCTCCCCCAGACGTCCTGGAGACCATCCCCTCTGCCTGTGTCATCCGCTGCTGTCCAGCCGGCTCCGCCTACAGCGCCTAGCCTCCCGCAGCCGTCCTGGGCCCGACCCCACCACATCAGTACTCGCCACATGGCCTTCAGAAGGGTCCTTCCAACACACCTGATCCTCAGCACCGGTCTGTGAGCACCCCCGGGTCCTCACCACTGAGGAGGCAGCCACCCTTCCCCAGGTCTCGAGCGCTCGTTCGCCGAGCACCTGCCACGCGCTAGGCCTGTGCCCGGTGCTGGGGGAGAGCTAAGCACAGGGCCTAGGACGCTGGCCCTCCAGGGGCTGACATGCCAGCAGAGACAGACACGGCACAGACGCAGCCCCGCACGCAGCAGCCCCCCCCCCGCCCCGCCCCGTGTCACACAGCCAAGCACACACAACCGGGGCCGACCAAGAGGAGACATCAGACACACCCAAACCGAGGGGCACGACAAACACCTGGTCTATGCTCCCAAAACCTCAGCCACACCAAGAAAGGCTGAGGAACGGCTCCAGATCTGAGACTAGAGTGCTCACGAGAGCCCGAGGGCTAGGCAGGTCTCCTGCTGTAAAGGAACAAGGGGACAACGGGCGGGACCCGAACCGGGGCAGCAAACAGGTAAGAGCCTGGTGTCATGTGGCTTCCCGGGTCATCATGGTATTTGGTTCTGTAAGAGAATAGCGTTGTTTCTAGGAAATATGCACTCAACTATTTAGGGACAAAGGGAATCACGTCTGTAACAGACTCAAATGATCCAGAGAAGATTCATAGGTAGGAAGACAGAAAAGGAATCGGTCAGTGGTTGTCTCTAAGTCGTAGAAGGGGGTGTGACGGAACTTTCTGCTGTTTCTCATTTCCTCCGATGACAATTAGGAACAAAACTAAGGACAGGGAGTGAACAACGCTAAGATGGGTAAAGCCTGATTAGCGTCCACTATGTAGGAGTCAAGATGAAAGGAACTGTACTCACCCATCGTATTTGTCAATGTTGATCTCATATAAACTCTCCTTGGCCTGGTTTGCACGTTCAGTAACTGTGGGGAAGAATAACATTACGTTGCAGCGCTTACATTCAAATCTGAGAATCCAATTTAAAATAAAAAGCAAGCAAACACTTCCTTTCACATGAGGTCCTATAACATCTTCAGGAGGATTTCCTGCAAGAAGTCGCTCTTATAGAAAGGGGACACTGACCTCAATGGAAGGTGACATGCTCAGGGTAAGATGTCACATACTTGGCATCTAATTGCCAACACATAGTAACTTTTTGGAAAGAGATTATGTCTTCTATTTTATAGTTTCTTATTATCCTTATGCTGAAAATTTTAATTAATTGAATTAAAATAAAACTTAAAAAAAATTAAACTTTAGAATATCCCAAGATGTAAGAAAAAGAAAACGTGAGTCCACAGACTGTGTATTCAATGTAAGAAACAAAAACAGAACAGAAAAGCTACTGGGCATGGAGTCTTGTACCCCTGACTTCCCAGCATTTATCACAGCCACTTTTTTTCAATGGAAAGTTCTCTGGAAAGACCACGTTAAAGGTCTACGTGCTGTCCCTTTGGACTCACAGGGGCACAATTGTAGCCCCACGTTTCCTGCCAGTGGGCGCTCACGTTGTTTCAATGTTTGCTATTATAAAATGTGGCCGCGCACCTCTGTGCACATCACCCTGTACACTTGATTGTCATCCTAGGAAAGAGTGAGAAACTGGGATACCAGGCAAACACCCCACATTTTTAAGGCTCTTTGCCCACACTGCTGGTGGCCCCTCAGGAAGTGTGTACAGACCTCAGGGCACGGGGTCGGGGGAGGAGAACAGCGTCCCTGCGCCCCGCCCAGCTTTGAGAATTTGTGCTAAAAACTTGGTGCCACAAACACGGCGCCACATTACGTTTCTTCAGGTGTCACTTATTGGTGAAATCCTTTCTAAGCCTTATAAATTGCTTGTATCTCTTCTTGCAAGAATTTTCTGTCCCTGGGGCGCCTGGGTGGCTCAGATGGTTAAGCGTCTGCCTTCGGCTCGGGTCGTGATCCCAGGGTCCTGGGATCGAGCCCCGCATCCGGCTCCCTGCTTGGCAGGGAACCTGCTTCTCCCTCTCCCTCTACTGTTCCCCCTGCTTGTGCTCTCTCGCTCTCTCTATCAAATAAATAAATAAAATCTTTAAAAAAAAAAAAAAGAATTTTCTGTCCCTGATCTTTACCCTTTCGTCTTCTTAGTGTTTCTCTCAAGTGCTTTTTTTTTTTTTTAAGATTTTATTTATTTATTTGACAGAGAGAGACACAGCGAGAGAGGGAACACAAGCAGGGGGAGTGGGAGAGGGAGAAGCAGAGCAGGGACCCTGATGTGGGGCTCGATCCCAGGACCCTGGGACCATGACCTGAGCCGAAGGCAGACGCTTAAGGACTGAGCCACCCATGCGCCCCTCGAATGCTTTTTGTTTATGCTAAGACCTGGCTAGAAAAGTATACATTCTTTATTTTGTATTGTTCTTGTTCTGGTATATAAAACAACACATTTTACTTTCTTTAAAATAACTTGTAAGATAAAAATCTTGTGTAGTAACCACACTTGTATCATTCTCACATTTACTCCTATATATTTAACAGAATTTATACCTTACCAATTATTTCGGTGGTGATGGAGGCTAATGTAAACAACGGTGCCACTTTCCTTTCATAGATCCGCTTGCCTTGTCCTTTCCCTCCGAACGGATTAATAAACACCAGTAAATGCTTTGGTCTCGATGCTATAAAACAACGATATGTGAATCACAGTGAATGCAACAAATATCAACAGGAAGGACTGTGTTACTGAAGAATATCTAATGACTATGGTTTGAGAACTCTGCTTAGTATTGCCTGAAAAAAGTATCTATAAGTTAAAGAACCATGCGGAAGAGTTTCCTAATCTATGAAAAGAGAAAAGTGACAGCCTATCAGAATGGGCGGGAGCGTTGTGTATCTGCAAATCCCCAAGAATTCAGAATTCTGACCGAGACAGACACGGTCTCCTGATGAAGAGTCCTATAAAATGTGACTTCTGGAAAGTGAAGGAAGGTGAGTCTGCAGAGAACAAGAGGAAACAGATGTACAGAAGGGCCCACTAGGGGAGACAGAGAGGACAGATGTACAGTGAGACACAGACAGCCTGTCAGCCGCTGGCTTCAGTCCCGTCCAGAGAGCCTCCTCACCTGGCTCACAACTATGTTTGTATAGCAGCTCCCAACATCGTTGTTGGGGTCAGTTCAAATAGATTCTGACACTCAAAAACAAACTTAACCAACAAATCAATAAAAGTAGCAAGAAAGTATATACTCCAAAAAATGGAAAACCTAAGTCCACACAAAATTCTGCACACGGAAGTTCACAACAGTACTGTTCGAGACAGCCCCGAGAGAAAACACCCTACGTGTCCATCAGCTGGCTGCTGACACACCAGATGCCGTCCAGCTATGCAATGGAATACTACTCGGCAACAAAAAAGCCCAGACTACTGGTATACTGACCAACGTGGGGCCCTGTCAATGTCATCACGTGGAGAGCCTACAGCCCTACTCGAAGGGGCCCCCGTGATGTCATTCCATCTGCGTGGTGGCTGTCTCTGCACCGACAGGAAGGAGCACGAGAAAACTCTGGGGTGATCTATGTCTCACAGGGCTTTGGGCGACAACAGCTGTGTGTCTGCATGTTCCGACACCATTGATTTAAACTCACGATCTGTCCGCTCCACCGTGTGGGGATTCTAGCTCAGAACGGTACACGCATGCTGATCTCTAATTCACGAGGTGCCCGCCGAAGTGTTTAAAGTGCCCCACGTCTGTCACTTACTCTGAAAACTCAGCAGAGAATACAGTGAACTAACAGACAGATACACAGACGCTGGCAAAGCAAAGCTCGAAAGCCGTGAACCACTGCACATCTACGTGGTGGGTATGTGCCTGTTTATTATTCAATTCTCGCACTTTTTCCAGATGCTTGAAAACCTTCATAATAAAATACCGGGAGGAATGTACAGTAGAGAAAAATCAACAAAGCCGAAAGTTGGTTCTTTAAAAAGACTCATAAAAATGGGGCGCCTGGGTGGCTCAGTCGGTTGGGCGACTGCCTTCGGCTCAGGTCATGGTCCCAGGGTCCTGGGATCGAGCCCCGCATCGGGCTCCCTGCTCGGCGGGAAGCCTGCTTCCCCCACTGCCTGCCTCTCTCTCTCTCTCTGACAAATAAGTAAAATCTTTCAAAAAGTAAAAGTAAAAAGATTCATAAAATTGACAATTCCCTAATAAAGATGCTACAGAACTAGGGAGAAGAGACAAATTACTAATTATCAAGAATGAGAAAGGGGACGTCACCCCAGAGTTTGCACATGTTACAAGGGAAGTGAAAGGACTTCTTAATAATGAATTTATAAACTTGGATGAATGGACAAATCTTGTCAAAAAATACAACTTACCAAACCTGGCAGAAGCAATAGAAAATCTGAATAGTCTGATATTTAATGAAGAAACCGAAGTCATTAATGAAAACCTTCTCACAAAGAAACCCCAGGCCCAGATGGTTTCACCAGTGAATGCTTCCAAGGACTCAGGGAAAACCACAGCCCCAATGTCACGTAAACACTTCCACAGAACAGAAGGAAGGAGCACTTCTCAGCTCCCTGCATGGGGCCACCAACGCTTGACAGCAGAACCAGTCAAGAGACTCACGCATGGTTCCACTTCTCCCCTGAGCCAAGGTGTAGAAGTCCTGAGCAAAGTATCAGCAAGTCAACTCCAGAAACATATAAAAAGAGTTAGCAGGTCTCGTTCAAGTGGATTTCATAGGAATCCAAAGGCTTTTATCCAAGAGAAACCAATGTCCTTAACACAGTAACTCAAAAAGAAGGCAATCACAGAGGCACCTCCAGAGATGCAGAAAAACCATCTATCAAACTCAATCAGCCATGGTTTAAGAAAAAACAAAGTCTAGAAAGGTAGGAATTAGAGACGAACTTCCCTAATATGTTTTTTTTCCTGACTTTTAAATTTTTATTTTTATCTTTTAAGTAATCTCTATGCCTGTCATGGGGCTTGAACCCGCCACCCTAAGATTAAGAGTCAACTGCTCTGCCGACTCAGCCAAGCAGATGACCCTTAATATTTTTTTAAAAAACTTTTAAAAACCCAAGAAACATCATTCTTGACAGTGAAATGTTGGAAACTGCCCCGGAGAGCCGGACTGAGATGATCCTCCCCACTGGGACCCGCCCCAGGGGAGAAGTGTAAGAGAAAAGAGTAAAAGAACTAAGATGAATGGAACAGGAGTGTGCCATTATTCACAGGTGACATGATTCTGCTCAAAGCAAATCCAAAAGAATCATCAGTCCATTAAAATTAATAAGTGAGTTTAGCGAAGTCATTGGATACAAAGGGAAATTCAATCCAAGTGCGACACAGAAGCAAGAAGTGAAGATCGGCGTGGTGGTGTCGGCGTGTGCGGGGAGAGGGCCGGCCGGCCCATCAGCCGGGGCGTCGAGCCCAGACCTGTGTTTAAATGAGCCTCGACCACTCACCTTACACACAAAAACCAACTCCAAACGGACTGTAGGTCTAAACGTGAAAGGTAAAACAAACCTTTGAGGAGAAAATATCTTTAGGGCCCTGGACAAAGACGTCGAATAGGATCTGAAGTAACCATAGAGAAAAAAAGAGAGAAATAGAACTACATTAAAACCGAGGACATCTGTTCATCAGCAGACACCAATAAGCGTAAAAAGGCAAACCACAGAACGAGAAGACATCTGTCATTCATAAATCCAATGAAAGATCTAGATCCACAATACGCAAAGAATATCTACATGACATGAAGAAAAGATGGACCACCCAACAGAAAAATGGACAAAAGACTTAAACGGACTCCTTACAAAAGAGGATTTCCAAGTGGCCCATAAACATAGGAACGTATTTCTCACCTCCAGCAGCTATCAGGGAAATGCAAATTAATACCCTAGTGCAAGACTCCTGACACTCATCCAAACAGCTATAATTTTTAGGGTGTGGAAAAGATGGGGGGCAACCAGGACTCTGATGTTCTGCCGGGGGGGTGTTGCTGGCACCGCAGTCTGGAAGACGGTCTGACGGTGTCTACCGCGGCCGAACACATGCCCCCTGCGGAAATCCCTCTCCCACGTACACAGCCAAGGGGAAGGCCAGTGAGTGCCCAGCACGAGGCAGGCGCCAGAATGTTCAGGGCGGCATTGTCTGCCCACATCCGGGAGCTAGCCCAGTGACCTTCAGCAGTAAAGTGGAGAAATCCATGGTCGCAGGCGGGGGACCGTGCCGCCAGCCGGACGAGCAGCGGACACCACACACCCCGACGTGGGTTAGCCTCGCAAACATCAACGCTGAGCCAAAAAGCCAGACACAGGGGCTTCTGCGGTATAATCTGATGTCTATGAAGCACGAAATGAAGCTGGCAGTGATCACCCCGCGGGGGAGCGGCTGCAGGGGCTCGGGGGGCCCTGGGGGGGGCTGGCAGGGTTCTGGTTCGGGACCTGGATGCTGGTTACACGGGAGCGCTCGGTGTGTGAGCTCCCCAAGCCGCACGCGCGGGATGTGGGCACTTCCCGGAGTCTGTGCTACTTCCGGGAGAACAAAACAGACAACACAGTTAGAGTTAAAATCACGGAGCAGCTGAACTAACAGAATCCTCGAATACCTGCAGATACAAGGGGCCTGGGGCAGCTGGTAACTGGAGGCTTTCGTACGAGTTCTGCGGAAAATAACCCCCCAGATTTTAATGGGGGGGCAGGCCCAGAGCCCTTCCTCTAGGAGTCTGAACCTACAGAATCAGCCCTAATCTAGAGACGCAAAGTCTCAAGAAAGCAGGAGGACTGGGGGAGGGGAGAACGCAGGAAAGGAGCCAGTGAGGACAAGGAGGAAGAGTCTAGAGGAACAGGGGACAAGCAGGACAGAGCCCCTTACGTAAGCGCGACACGTAAGGAACCGTCGGGGGGCATGTGCCGTGTCCCGCAGGATGAGACGGTCAGATGCAGGAGGCTTCTCGGGGAGGAAGTCTCTCTGAAGCTCGTATGTGGGCCACAGCATCTTCAAATAAATTGTCCCTCACTTTTTTGATCCAGATGCCAAATTAACTTAAAAAGACCAAAAACCACCCTCCACCCACGCTGTTTGTATTCTGTGGTTAAAGCCAGTACCGAGCTGACCGGATTATGTATAGAGATTATAACCGAACAGCACGAAACAGGAGAGGGAGACAGACTCTCGTCACCCAGCAACCCATCGGCATTTCAGATGTCGGGGCCCACCCCAGATGTGGGAGGTGCGTCCCCACTACCTGGTTTATGCCCCGCATTCACCTGCAATGCAGGGATCACCATGCCCGCTGCCCAGAAACAGAAACCGAGGCTCAGCAGGCCAAGGCACCCACTCCCCGTCTCGCAGCCGGTCAGTGAAGGCGCCCCGGCCCTGGGAGGCCACGTGGGGGATGGCCCACGACACTAGGCTGCTCCTCTAACTGGTATTTGGTCAATTTTTAAAAGTCACACCGATTGACCACCACACTCGGTTACAGGAAAGCTGTGCCCAAGGTGGGGAAGCAGCTTCGATGGCGGCGGCTCTGGGTTTGGGGGTACACAAACGCACGTACTGAGCTTCCCCAGCAGCTCCTGGAGGGCGTGCAGCCACAGGTGACACAGCGGCTCCTCGGCACAGCAGAAAGTGACCTGCGCCCACTTCCAGCGGTGGCGGCGGGCTCGCTTCACACAGTGCACTGCAAGACAGAGCGTGGGCGGGTCAGGGCGCAGCCTCGCACCCCACGTGCTCGTGTGGGGCCCCGTGCCGCTCCCGACTCCTGGCTGGTGAGCCACTTCCAAGGCATTAGGAAAAGGACCTACTTCTCAGTCCTTTTAACCCATATAAAAAAGAAAAAACAAAGTGTGAAACGAGATGATCAAAACATTAACTAAAAGTCGATCTTGGAAAAAATTACATAAGGCAGTTTCTTAAAAGATAAAAAAAAAAGGAGACACCGAGCTTGTCAAACAAGTGGCAAAAATGTTGCCTTTCCACTGCGTGAAATTGGTGAAGATGGGGGAGGGAGTTCGTGCCCTCACCTGTGAAAGCGAAGGGCTTTTCCATCTTCTGCCATTTTCCGCTGCTGGACCGTTTCCCATGAGTGTCTGCTTCTTCCACGGTGATAATCTCAGAAATAGGCAGAGAGCAAGCATCTGTAAAGACCACATCCTCACATCAGATGAATTTCATAGAATTCACATAAGTACAAGAAGTCCATTCCAAAAGGCTGGGACCGTTCTGCTTTAATATTCGCATTAGACATCCAAAAGTACAAAGAAAATCATATGCAGTTTTTAAATTCAGAGATAAATACATTTGGGAAACTCAATGTTATCAGAAGATGGGACGGTTTATCCAACAGAGTCACCGAATGTAGACTGCCAACTTTTCAAATGATCTGCTCAGCTGACTTTTCCAGGCCAGCTACTGTGCTAAATTTGGGCAAAGATGTTCAAGACACAGTGTCTGTCCTTAGTCTGGCTCAGGAATCCAAGTGGGAAGGAAGAACATGGAGAGCCGTGGGACAAGCAGGACCCAGGACCGCGTGTGCCCCGGAGAGTCAGGGCCCCACCGAGCTGGAGGCTAGGGGTGGGTGCGTGGGAAGGCCTGGGGGTTCCCGTCAGATGTGGGAAGCCCTGTATGGGCCTGGGGGCGGACAGCGGCCGATGTCCACTGCGGGAAGCCCAGGAGGAGGCCACTCCGCGGAACTGCCCGGATGGCACAGGCAAGCCAGGCACCAACAGGGCCGAGGGCCGGGAAGCGGAGACCCAGGGCAGCGAGCCCCCGTCTGCACAGGCTACGTTCTGGAAGCGTGTCCGCGAACTGCTGTTAGGATTTACGATCTATTTTTACATAGAAGAGCATTGTAAGTTGTGGTTTGGTCCCAGGTTGGCTTTAAGACCTGCCCTGGAGCTGAAGTGCTCTGCTTCAGTAACAGGTCGAAGAAACCCACTGCTGTGGCACCTCAGCAGCTTCACGTGGTCTGGAAGTCACTACCTGCAGAGGTCACGTAAGACCCGGATGGGTGTGGGCCTCCAAGTAGCCTTGGAAGGCGGGGAGGGTACGGTGCCCAACGGGGTCATACTGGCCAGGAGCAAGGGGCAGGGATACTCTTGCAGAAGAACCAGAAGTGGGCCTCAGAGGACAGCATGGGCTCCAGCGCACCAGGGCGGGGGGCAGGGGAAGGCTAGGGAGGGGTGGCTCAGGGCCCTCGGGGAAGCTGGTCACTGAGGGCTCCCTCCAGGGCGCCCTGCCTTCTCCCCCCGTAGCAGCCTCTGCTCAGGGCAGCCACGCGGGCTCCCCGCCACCAGCTCCCATCCCACAGCCTGCCCCCCCCATCCTCAATTCGTGGGGCACCGGCCTGCCTCCTTGGAGCCCCGCCGAGTCTGCACCGGCGTTTCCTGGCCCTCCGCCCCGTCTCCTGGGGAAGAGCTGTCCGGTGTCTGTGTCTGGGGCACCGAGCAGGGCCAGGCTCACGGCGGGACGAGTCAGGGATCCGATTCAGGATCACACGCTCACATGGTGATCTCAGACCCCTGAGAATAAATGTCAGGATCTCCTGCACCCCTGGGCAATCAGTACACTTGGGCCTGTCTGATAAGAAACAGCCAGGAGGTTATTACAATAAGCTAAGTGCGCACGATAATTAGGAATGATATGCTTCTCAATATTCAAACAAAACGACGGACTGCTTTAAGAAACTGCACAAGAGACGAACACAATAGTCATATTATGCCATTAAATTAGAAGTTACACATGACTCACGGGATAACCCACTTAAGAGAGTCTCTAAATTAGTAATTCCTAATCTTGCTAATTTGGTTTGACAAACTCGAAGAACCGAAGGAGGATGCGTGAGATGTCAGGAGGCCCCACGCCCTGCTCCCCGGTGCCGCGCGCCCAGTGCTGCGGTCCCCAAGTCCCGCACACAGGCTCACCCATGACACTGCACGCAGCCAGGACCACGTCCTGAAAGCCCCACAGCCCCTGCTCCCTGGGGTACCCACCGGGCGCTGGCCGCTGTGCCCGCCGCAGAGGGAGTGCGTGGAGGTGATGTTGGGGTGACAGTGTACAGGAGGGGTGCGCAGTGAGGAGCTGGAGGTGGCGGGGCTCAGGGTCTGAGCAGAGACGGCAATGAGGCCAGGACGAGCTGCTCGGAAGCTGGCCTGGGAGAGAAGCAGAAGCCGAGGGAGGGACAGGGGCGGAAGGACGGAGGGACGGAGGGCTTGTGATCTGAGGCCGGTGGAGCTTTCCTGCAGGTGGGCTCAGGGGGCTCCGGCAGAGGGAGGCAGAGGGAGGCCTGGGCTGACGCGGTCGGCTCCTGCATAACAGAAATGTAGGGGACAGGACAAGGGACACAACACAAGGGAGGGACTCTGGGATGAAGCCTCGTGTCTTCCGCTACGGTCAGCCTACCCAGAGCGTCCTCCATCCTCGGGTGAGAACAAGACAAACACATGGAAGCAGGACGTGATATTTCCCACGTGCGGGAAGTGGGAACTGTCTTCTCTAAAGAGGATCCAGAGGAGCAGGGAAGTAAAAATCCCCACCGTCTGAGCAATGTCAGGAAGAGAGTGTCGGGTCTGGCCTGGGGGCTGCCCCTCACAGGAGCACAGGAAGCTTGGTGGACGGGGACGCGGGCGGGGACGCGGACGGGGACGGGGACGCGGGCGGTGACGGGGACGGGGACGCGGACGGGGACGGGGACGCGGACGGGGACGGGGACGCGGACGCGGGCGGGGACGGGGACGCGGACGCGGACGGGGACGCGGACGGGGACGCGGGCGGGGACGGGGACGCGGGCGGGGACGGGGACGCGGACGCGGGCGGGGACGCGGGTGGGGACGCGGACGGAGACGGGGACGCGGGCGGGGACGGGGACGCAGGCGGGGACGCGGACGGGGACGCGGACGCTTCAGGGCCGGGCACTCCTTTCTTTTCTAGTTCACTGCACGTGCGCAAATCATGAGCAGAAGGCCCTGTTTGTCAAAACTTTCCTCTCTAATTAGGAGGCAAAGAGCTCCACCAAGAATCTGAGGAGACGGACAGCAAGCCCCTGCAGGACACAGAACATGTTACCTGGCTTCCATCAGTCTCCTCCGAGGCCAGGTCTGGGGGCAGCAGGGGGGACCGCCTGAGGTCCTCCCAGGGTAAAGTGCGACCGCCCTGTGCCCGCCTCCTCGTGCTGGCCTGGAGGGGCCTCCGGGAAGGACACAGCGAGTGTCGTGGGAGCACGCCAAGCACAAGCAGGAACAACAGTACATTAGTGCGTGTACACAAAACGGAGGAGTGTCTTGCAAAGAGTTAACAGTGGGAATTTGGAGGCACTTCCATTTTCTACATGATATTAGCATTTCTCTAACATTTGCCTGCATTTTGCCATGACCTCGCACTGCGTGTGAGACTAGGAAAAGAAGACCGGTCTTCTGGAAGAGAGCAGGCAGGGAGCTGAGAGGTCAGATGTCCTGTTGTGAGGAGAGGTTACTTCCAGGCCACACTGGACCTGGCTGGTGGCCACGTCGTTGGACAGGGCTCCCCAGACGTGGACGCGGGGGCCCAGGGCACGTGCTGGTCCGTCCTGCAGGCTGCCCCCCGGCCCAGCCCCGCCATCAGGGGCGCAGTCGCCCTGACCCGGGCCAGAGTCTGTGCTTTCCTTGCTGACGCACGACGCATCTTTCCGGTGAAATCACCCTTGGATCTTACTCCACATCACTGCCTTCTTCGAGCCGATCGCGGCCCCGTCTGCAGAGGGAGCAGCGGCCAAGGCTCACGGGAGTCACCTACCACGTTATAAAAGTAACAACCTGACACCTCTTTTCAAAAACCTCCTAGGGGGCGCCTGGGTGGCTCAGTTGGTTGGGCGACTGCCTTCGGCTCAGGTCATGATCCTGGAGTCCCGGCATCGAGTCCCACATCGGGCTCCCTGCTCAGCGGGGAGTCTGCGTCTCCCTCTGACCCTCTTCCCTCTCGTGCTCTCTCTCTCTCATTCTCTCTCAAATAAATAAAAAAAAATAAAAATCTTCAAAAACCTCCTAGTGAAGTATGCTTCTGGACTAGACAGGTTTCTCCAACGGACAGAAAGATGCTGCAAACCACAAAACTCCCTGAGACCGGGGCTTCTCACCGGAACCACGGGCACCTCTTCGTGGTGGGGCCATCCTGGCCATTGCTGGATTTGGGCAGCATCCCTGGGCTCCAGCCACGAATGCCAGGGGCACCCCCAACATTGCCGGACATTGGCCAGTGTCTCCTGGAGGCACCGTCTCCAGCAGAAAACCATTGCCCTAGGGGGTCACTGTGCTTAGCAACCTGTTCTTTACACAGAAAACACAGAAGGAAACTAAGGCCAGTCTTGGGGGCACAGGGGAAAGGTGGGTCTCCTATATGTGTGTGTCTGTCCCCATGGGTGCCTCACACCCAGCCTTCTAAATCTAAACCTATCTTTCCTGGTTTGCTGCCCCTTTCCAGAAGCTTCCTTCCCTGCTGATCCCCAGCAAACAGTGCTCCATCCTCATGCTCATTTGCCCAGCTACCCAGGAGTCCTGCCTGACTGCTTCCCTGCCTCGGGGTGGCTCCCAGCCTGCCCCCCGGCCCCCAAGTGCACAAAGACACAAATGTGGATGTGGCATCGCTGTTTGAATCTTTCATGGGGACATCCCGCCGCTCACCACGCAGGTTAATCAACACCCCAGGCTCGGGGGCTGGGGGGCTGTCCAAGCCCCTCCCACCACCTGCCTTCCTGGCAAAGCCTGCAGGCCCCAGGGCACTGGCAGCCGCCCCCCGGACCTCCCCCGGTTCTCTTCCTGGAGCCCGCGCGCTGCCCCAAAACAGCAAACACTCATAACGACTGTCAGAATAAATAAGCACCGATGCGTCCAGCAGAACTTAGAGATTTTCATCCAGAGCTCAGCCAAATCATAAAACAGCCTTGTAGGAATGTCATGGTGTTACCGGTATGTTTGTGAAACCTCTCTATGATACTCAGTTACTATGCTGAAATGATCTTTTTAGTGGTGATGCAAAACTTCCTGAGCAGGGAAAGGAAGTCCATCGGGGTGAGCGCCACCCCTCTAACAGGACAGACCGGGGGCGCGACCTGACCCGGCTGCTGGGGGCCGGCCACAACCGCATGACAGTCCTCCCGGTCCCCGCT